TACGCAATTGGCTCCGTTCGTTAGTCTGTCAGCGTTCTGCCACTCGCTCAACTTTCTGCGCAGGATGGATCACACTCTCGCGAGCCTCGAGCCTCGAGACTCGAGACTGCGACATGCAATCAATTTGCGTGAGCCGACTCGCTCCTCTACCGCACCGGTCATCGCTCCTCTCCCTGCTTCCTACCTCCCGGCCGACCTCGCCATCGCCCGTGCCGCCGCCCGCGCCGCCGCCATCGCTCCTCACCGCCAACGCCGCCAGCCTCGCCGCCACCGCCGCCATCACCGCCACCGCCGCCACCACCGCCGCCACCACCGCCGGTGAACAGTCTGCCCACCCTCGGCCAGCACCCTCGCCGCCACCCGTCTCGGCCGTCGCCGTCGCCAAAGTTACCTCTCCGCCGCCACCTTTGCCGCCACCGCCCCACACCTGCGTCCTCCTGCCGCCACCTCTGTCTCTGCCTCCGCCACGGTACCCTCGCCTACCACCCTTGCCACCGCCGATTCCGCCGCCGGTGTGACCCGCCGTGCGCCACTGCTTTCAAATTTCGCTGGATTCAGACAAAGGGCGCATGGGACAGACACGATGTGCAAACAAGGGCGCATGGGACGCTATATGATTTGAGGGTATGCAAAGACGCGCGCCTTCTCAAGCAGCTCGGGCGTGAAGGCAGCGAGCCAGGCCGGCGATGGGCTCCTGTAGTAGCTCCTCTGATACTCGGAGAAGTCAGCGAGCCGGACGAAGAGGCAAGGCGTGTCGGCGTACGCGGCCGGCGGCACGCCGAAGGTGGCCGAGCGAGAGGCGCTTGAAAAGAGGTACTCTTCCAGCCGGGGAGCGTAGAACTTTGCGGGGCCGGTCACGCCAGCCTGCTGGCAGGCTGCGTCGCAGCTGACATCGGTGATCTTGAGGTCATCGATCTGGCTCGTCTTGTCGATCTTATAGACCCAGCGCCCCTCGTCGCCCCACCGCATGGCGAGCCTCATGAGCACCCAGAATGCCTTGAGGATGTGGGGCGTGACCGAGACAAACTGGGTGCGGCACAGACCGTTGGGGCAGCGACGGCTCTTTTGTCCCCAGCACCAGCCTGCGCCGCTGCCGCAGTGCCACGCCGGCGTGTGATCCGCCAGCGGGGCGTCCGGATAAAAGCCCAGGGCGCCATGGTCGCCCGGCTCTTCCGATCGGAAGAAGATGCCGACGCGCCGCCGTGCTGCGATCAGCCGGCTCTCCGCCTGGTATTCATACGCGGCGACGGCGGCGTGTCCTGCAGAAATGGCGCCGGTGCTGGCCCATTTCTGCACTGCAGCGCAGACCAGCGGCGGGGTGAGCTCGCCCACCGCCCCGTTGGCGACCGCCTCGATGGCGCGGTCGGCCAGCGCCTGCTGGAGTTGCCACCGGAGGCCGGAGCAGAGCCGCGTAAAGTCGGCGGGGAGCTCGGAGAGTGCTGCAGCCACGAGCGCGGCCGAAGGCCCCTCCACGCCGCTCGCCGGCCGCTGCTCGAGCAGCCGCAAGGCCTCTCCCGCCTCGAGCGAGCGCGTCGCGAGGAGGACGGGTCTCAGTCTGCGTTGCGCTGCTTTGGCCACAAGCGTCGCGTCGTGCCCCAACTCCAACTCCATTTCGATGCGGCGCCGGAGCTCGCCAACCGCGTGCGCCGTGGCGCCGAGCGTCACCGTGGCGCCGAGGCCACCAAGCACTGTTCCATCAAATTCGCCGATCGATGGCAGTGCGAGCGTGGCGAGGAGCTCGGGTGGTAGCTGGGCTCCCTCAAGCAGCTTGCACATGAGCAGAGCGGCCTTCACCTCGGGGTGAACTGAGCGGATAGACCTGAGAAGCTCTCGCTGGACCGCCTCAAGCTCGGAACGGTCAGTCTCCTCCTCCACGAGCGCCGCCACCCGCTCGGCCAGGCTGCGGCCTGTCGGCGTGACGCCTAGACCGCAATCGTACAACGTCACGCAATCCTGTCACGCTTCGCTCTCATAATCGCATCACGCTCGCCATCGCCGCCGCCGCCGCCGCCACCGCGGCGCAGCAGCTCGGCGAGCGCCTCCGCGGCATCCGGGTCGGGAGGGGCGGCCGCAGCCTCGCCGCCGAGCGGCTCGAGCAGCCGCCGCCACACCCCCTCCCGCCCCTCCGCCGCCTCCAGCGCGGCCGCCGCCCCGCGGACCGCGAGGCCCTTCTCCGCCGCCGCCGCCGCGAGCGACTCGGCCGGCACGTGCACCGCGCCAGGCCAGAGTCGCACAAGCCACCGCCTCGCCGCGGCGGTGTCGGCGATGGCCTCTGCGAGCGCCCTCCCCAGCTGGTGGCGGCGCTCGGCGCAGTCCGCTCGCCACGCCTCCTCCCGCTCAGCCGCCGCCGCCGCCTTCCGCTCCGCCGCCGCCAGCCTCGCCGCCTTCTTCGCCTCCGCCGCTGCCTTCACTGCTGCCGCCGCCTCCGCCGCTGCCTTCACTGCTGCTGCCGCCGCCGCACGCAACGCGTCCATCGCGGGGAGGGGCCCGGGAGGCGGAGGCGGCGGTGGCGGCGGCGGCGTCAACAGCGGCGTCAACAGCGGCGTCAACAGCGGCGTCACGGCGCCGGCCGTCGGGGTCATCGGCGGCGCCACCTCCACCGGCGTCCCCATTGCACACTGCACCGCGCCAGCCGACGGCAGGCCGTGCGCCGGCAGCGTCGCCGGCGGATGGTGCGGCGGGGGAGGGGGGAGGGGCACGGAGTCTGGCGGCGGCGGCGTCAACAGCGGCGTCAACAGCGGCGTCACGGCGCCGGCCGTCGGGGTCATCGGCGGCGCCACCTCCACCGGCGTCCCCATCGCAAACGGCACCGCGCCAGCCGACGGCAGGCCGTGCGCCGGCAGCGTCGCCGGCGGATGGTGCGGCGGGGGAGGGGGGAGGGGCACGGAGTCTGGCGGCAGCGGCGCGCTCGAGGCGAAGGGTAAGCCCGCCCCCGCCCGCGCCTCTCCCGCCGCCGCCGCCGCCGCCGCCTCCGCCTCCGCCTCCGCCTCCTCCGCCTCCGCCTCCTCCTCCTCCTCCGCCGCCGCCACCGCCGCCGCCGCCGCCGCCGCCGCCGCCCTCTGCTCTGCCGCCTTCGCCTCGGCCGCGCCCGCCCCCACCGCCGCGGCCCACCCCGCCACCTCGTCGCGCCGCGCGAGCGTGTGCGCCGCCGCGGCGGCGGCGGCGGCCGCCGCCGCATCCCGCTCCGCCTCGAGCGGCTCGACCCCCTGCTGCTGCACCGCCGCCGCCAGCAACTGGCGCCGCAGCGTCGCCGCGCAAGCCGCGGCCTCCTCCGCCTCCTCCACCTCCGCCGCCTCCGCCGCCTCCCTCCACATCACCTCCGACCACCTCGTCGACGCTCGCGTCGCCGCTGCGGCGAGCTGCCCGGCGGCGGCGCGCACCGCCCACGACGCCCCCCCGCATCGCCCCCACCGCTCGGTGCGCTCAAGGCGGCCGAGCAGCGCGCCGTGCGCCGTCACGACGCCGGCCAGGGCGGCGTCGCCCTCGACGGCGAGCGCGGCTGTCAGCGCGTCGAGGCTCCCCGCGAGCTCCTCCTCGCGAACGTCGTGGTCCTTCTTCGCGCCGCTAGGCGTGCGATGGACCAGAGACAGGAGGCCCGCCGCGTCGCGCGCGCGGACGTACAGCTCCAACGCACGCCGCAGGATGGCCCCCCGGCAGGAGGCAATGACGACGCTGTACGCGTATGCGGCATTGTTGTCGCTGCGTGACTCGGCGGCGCTCTCGCGCTCGTCCCGCTCCCGCTGTCGCGCGGCGCATAGCGAGCGGAGCGCGTCGCGCAGCGGCCGCGCAGCGTCCCCGCCCTAAGGGGAGACGGGAGGCAGCTGAGGCTCTAGAGTCGGTCCTGGAGGCTAGAGCCCGAGTAGCTGCCCGAGATGGAGGCCGAGTTGCAGTCGGTCGTGTGATGTGCGGCGAGGCGCCGCCCCTCTCCCGCTCCCCCGAGCCTCCGCCCAGGCGCGGCCGAGGCCGAGGTGACGGCCGGCTCGAGAGGCGCGAGGCGCGCGAGGGTGTCTCCCGGGTGCGCTCGAGAGGCGGCCGTCTCTCGGCTGCGCTCGTGGGATGTGTGGATGGCGAGGTCTGAGTCCTCGCCCCTCTGCCATCGCAGGCGCGCCCGCACGAGCTACGAGCTACGGCCGAGGTGTCGAGAGCGAGCGGGCGGTCGGGCAGGCCGGCGGTGGGCGCCCGAGGCCGCGCCTCTGAGGGAGGTGTGACGGGCGGCGCTTCTTCTCTCCGGTGAGTCGGGCCTCTGCCTGCCCGGCTAGAGCCCGAGTAGCCTGCCCGAGAGATGGCTTGAGATGTAGCCGAGATGCGGTCGATGTGTCGGCGACACGCCTCCCCGCTCCCGCGCGCCCGAGCCGCGGCCGATGCGTGGCCGAGGTGTCCCCCTCTCTCGTGGCCGCACGACACCGCCTCTCTCTCTCTCCCTGCCTCTCGTGCGGCGCGGCGGGCGGTGGGGAAGGAGAGGGGGGGGGGGGGGGGGGGCCCCCAAAAAACCTCACCCCCGTTTTCCGGGGGGCCACGCTCAAGCTGTGGCCGGGGTGGCTCCCGGGAGGGTGCTCGAGCGAGCGGCGGGGTGGATCACAGTCCGTGAGAGGTGTCAGTGACTGGGTGGGCGCACGCGTGGGTGTTATGGTGTGAGGAGAGTTGCCGAGCTGCACGTGCTGTGGAGAGCGTGCGCCTACAAAGACGAGCCGGGTGTGAAGACGGCGCCAGCCAACGCCTCCCCCGCGCCCCGTCCCCACACCTCCTCGCCCGCCGCGAGCGCCGCGGCGTCCGCGAGGGTCAACCCGCCGACCGCACGCGGCCCCAGTGCCGCGAGCACCGTCGGGAGCGCCGCCTCGCGCCACATCCGACGGTGCGAGACCTGCCCGAGGAGCTCCATTCTCAGCGCCATGAAGGCGTGGCCAGTGGAATCGGGCGAGCGAGGGAGCGGAGCGAGCGTGGGATCGAGGGAGGAGCCGCCATCTCGAGGTGTGGTGCTCGGCTGCGCGTGCTCTTCGGGACTACACGGCGGAAGTAACTGAAGGCCCCCGCCCGCTCGCCTGCTCGAGCAGCGCCACCGCTTCTGCGGGCACGAGGCCGAGCGCGAGGCGCTCCAGCGCGGAGCACAGCGGCGCCACAAAGTCCGCCGGCGCCTGGAACGGCGCCACGGCCAGCAGCGAGAGCAGCTCCTTCAGGCTCCGCGCCTGCCCGACCGCGGCTGGCGTCGCCCGCGTCGGCTCGGCGGCGGCCGACGCCGGGGCGACAGGCGGCGAGCGGCCGAGCCGGCGGGAGCACTCGTCAAAGAGGCCGCGCAGCCGCTCCCCCATCGCCTCCGGGTGGTTGGCGTCGCCCTTGTTGCCGCCAAACCCGATGCCCCACGCCCTGCGTAGGCTCGCCCACGACTCGTGCGTAGCCGCCTTTGGCAGGTCCCGACCCTTGGACGCGTCCGTTTTACTCGAGTACGGTGCCGACGGGTTGTGTGTGTGTGTGAGAGAGAGAAATACCAATTTGTTGTGTGTGTGTGTGTGTGTGTGTGTGTGTGTGTGTCGTCCCCCCCGGCAGGGCTATGCAACTGTGACCAGTGTGTGCTGTCTACGCCTGAACCAGGTGTCAAATCTGCCGATGCGTGATCTGTCTGTGTGTGGGCCGCTCTGTGAGGGGTCCAGGCGCATTGTCCGACGGGTAGGGGGTCTGTGCCCGGGCGGTGTCCGGTGCGGAGTCTCTCTCTGATCCCGCCTGGGATGTTGGGTGCGAGGTCGTGGAAGCGTCGATCCCAAGGGGGGGAGCCGATCCCACAGGGGCAGTAGGTGGGCGAGCTTCAAGCGCGCTCATCTCGATCGTCAAGGCGTCGCTACGCGCGGTCTTCCGCGGGGGGAGCTTCGTCGACGGGCGCGGGACCGCGGCGCAGACAGTGCTGCGGCGATGCCTGGAGCTTCCGTGGTCCGCCGCTGCGGGTTCGATTTTTGACCCGCGGAGCAGCCCCGCGGAGCCCGGATGCATCTCTTCTTCGTCACTGGACATGCTGGGGACGCCAAGTGGCCACCTCTCGGTTCGTAGACGAAGAAGTGGTCTCAGCCTCCCAGATGCATCGGCGCACCATCATCCAGGAGGACGGCGGACGAGCCGCTCAGTGAGCGAGTGGATCAGTCCCATATATAGGAGCGGACTCAGCCAGGCGGAGACGACCATAGAGTGCGAAGTACGTCGCCGCCGTCGGTCGTTTTGCTGGCCTGAGCGGGTCGTGAGACGACCTGTGAGAGCCATCAGGTAGAGCACCGTCGCAGCCATGTCATGAGTTGGGGAGCTTGCGTTGGGCAAGAACTGTTGTGGGCGATGGCACGGTGTGTGTAGATGGGTCAATCGAGGGCTCCCCTTTCGCAAAACGACGGGTACGGCATGCAACTGCTCAAGCACAAATTTACGCATGCCTGCGGGAGAGCACAGGGTGCAACCGGCGACCCGTACTGCTCGTGGCGTCCGGAGGCTACGTACGTAGAGCTCGTGCGGGGTCCAATCTTACTACTACTAGAGCTCGTGCGAGCTGGGCCGATGCGTGGCCGAGCCGTTGGCGGTCGACGCCTTGTCGCCTGCTAGTCGCTGGACGTTTCACAGCGCACAGGCCACAGCGGCATATGACCCATACTGTGACCTCAGAGCATATGCGCCTGGAGTGAACGGCCGCGGACGCGCGCCGGCAATTCCGACCCGGTGTGTGTGACCGGCAGCTACCCAGCCTGTGTGGCGGGCGACATGGATGCGCCCCTCGAAAAACCCGGAATCACCTTAAGGTACGTACAACATGAGAGAGAGAGGAAGCAGCCACAAAAAAACGTCCTCTGTGACCGGTTCAGGCCCTTTTGACGAGCTTGATGTGCTCGTGCCGTACCGCGGATGCGAGCCCCAGCGTTTCGAGGACGCATATGACGCCATATGTTGCGTCTGGCCCACGCTTAATCGCACCATGGTTAGCGCAGCGAGGGTCGTCGTGGTGGCCACTGTGCCACCCTGCGCCTCCGCCGATGAACGCGAGCCACGGCACATCAATTGCGGCGCAACCCGAACTTGGCCCCCACGCGTGGCAGTAGGAGTTGACCAGCATCGTCAGGTGGAGTGCCAAAGGCAGTGCATCCACGGCGGGCGAAGGCAGGTCCGGTCGCCAGCCGAGTGGCATCAGAGCGGCCTGTGTGGCATTGTGCAGTAGATCAAGCGCTGCATCAGTGAGACGCGGCCAGAGCACATCACACAGCCACAGTTCAGGGTGACTGGCCAGTTGTGGTACATTGTTGACATCCGTATCCAGGTGGCGCCGCCTCGTCATCCACAGCACGTGCGCGTACACAACTTGGAAGAATAGTTGCGTCCGCGAACAGGCGGTGTTGACGCCTGGACTGTGCGGGTCGTGCGGTTGGTCGCAATGGCGATGGTGCTCCGTGTGGTTGCTCGCCCACCAGAGCGGCCCGCCTTGGCCGCTCGATGCCGATGCGATGCCAAGGACGAGCTGAACAGGGCGGCTTACGCGGAAGCTGTGGTGCGAAAAGTAGCGGTGCGAGGCGAGGTTGGCACACAAGCATAAGATCTGCACGGCGCCGAACAGGCCTAGTGCGTGCAACGCGACAGTCGGTAGCCCGCCTTTGCGCCACCACAGCTGCAAGATGTGCTGTGGCAAGTCCCAGCAGCTGCAAAGAACCACGACAATTCGCAAGCTGTAGAGTGCGACGTAATTATTCAGGCGCGAAAGGAATCGGCACACGCTCTGAAAGTTGGAGTTGCCAGGCGGAAGCGTAGTGAGGTCACTGAACACGTGCCTCAGCTCGTTCGCGTCCCGCGAGATGCACATCTCGATGAGTAGGTGCACAAAGCAACCAATAAGAACATCAGTCGTAACAGCATCCAGCACCTTATCCGCCCACAGGTAGGCGCCCACGAGCACAGCGATGCGACTTAGTGCCGCTAAGAGGCGCTGATCCGGGCGGCTACGCGCAGCTAGCGCAACCATCAGCACCAGAGCCGCCATTGCAGCGTCTGCCATTGCTGGCTTGAATCTGAGAGCGACAGTGGCAAACCCCGTTGACACTGGACCGGATGGCAGAGCGCTCACGCGCTGTTCCCTGAGGTGTTGGAGAATTTGGTCGAGCTGTTGCTGGCGCAATTGCTCTCGATGCTCGTCTTGTCTGCGGCGATACGCCGGATTCGGCGAAGCAACTTGTAAGGCAGCGACCGCGGCCTCATCCTCTGGAACCCACACCGTCATGATCCTCTTCTCGGTTCCACGAGTAACGCAGCCAGCGTGCAACGTCGTGGCGGCGTCTCGAGCATAATTAAACCACAACAGTCCAACCCCCGCTCTGGGCGATATCAGGGTGCCGTCATCCATCGGGCAGCCGCCATGTTTGAGCTGCAGCGCCTGTGCGGCCGCCATTTGCTCCCCCAAGGTGCCGTTTGTCGGCGAAGGAAACCACGTTTCACCACCATGTTGGATGTCATTGAGGTACACCATCATGGTCGCCCACCGACCGGTGAAATTACTAGCCGCGTCGTAATGTGCGTCGTAAAAATCGCCCTCAGATGCGTAGCGCGCCAGTTGCCAGTCACTTGATGCAACGTGCGACTGCGATGTCCTAAGGAGTTCGGCAATGCGCTTTGACGCGTCCATCGCGACCGGTGGAACCTCCTGGCGTCGGTACAATGATTCGCTCTGCCGCACCATCGCACTTGGTATTTGTGCGAGAAGCTGCGCTTGAATAGCCGTCACCAGCTCGCTAAAACCAGCCGCGTCCAGTTGCCAAGAGCCGTCACTGTGTTGAACACCATGCGCACCAAGGATTTGGTGAAAAGCTCCTTCCATGTGCTTGGACGTTTCACTGTCATTCAGCGCGTGGATTAAACGTGGCGGCAGCCACGGCGTCTGCTCACTAGCAGGACTGACGATCAGTTTCAACAAGTGTCGAAACTCAGCAAGGCTAAGCAGGTCTGACGGCCTTGTCGCGGGAGCGGCAGCGGCAAACAAGGCTTGCGACATGGCGCTGCTGTCCCTCTCACCGAACGTGGTGCTGCGGTGTGCTGGCAACGCCGACGACCACGCTCCAATGGAGTTGATCTGGCCGGGTGTGAGCAGCGGCTCGATGCGCACGACAGGTGGCGACTGTGACACCTTGGTCAATGTGGCCGAGTGACCATCAGCAAAGGTAGCTCGCACTGAAACGCCAACGCTTCCTGCGAGAAGCCCGCCAAGGTGCGGGCAGGCGTCCATACCGCCCACGGGAGGTGCGCTTGAGAGAGCAGCAACGAGGCTGGCCACCGCGACAGATTGTTTCATGCGCATTCAAAGTGAAATACGAGCACAGATCTTGGCGAGGCGCGGTCAGCAAGGCACGATGGCGGCTTGTCTCGCTTGCACTTCAGCTGTCTCACTCCGGCGATGAAATTCTTTTTCACTTGGCCACCCATGCGCTGACAACGACTTGGTGGGCGGGGTGCCGTTCTTCCCATATTCACGCGGTCACTGATCGCAACTAATCCGATCACTATAGTACGTATAGTGTCGGTCCCGGACTCGAGCATACATTGATGCTCTATGGATGATGAGAAGTGCGCGAGGTCCTTCCCCTCCCCGCTCTCGACGGCGGGAAGGTGGAGGTCAAACGTGGACATCTCATATGTCACGTGGCCGGATGAGGCCATCCCGAGTGCGACAAGAAACTCCATGGCGGTGGAGACGCGCTTCTTTGCGGTCGGGGTCTTGACCCACTGGCGGCATGCAAAGGCCGTGGCGGAGGTGATCGGGAAAGAAGAGCCCTCGCGGAGGCCCTTCGACACCCGGAAGGCGACAAAGTCCTTCAAGAACAGTCTCGCAGCCTTCGTCTTCTCCGACGACACCCCGCCCTTCGCCACAATCAGCGTGGTCGCAGCCTCATGGTACTCGGCGTCAGTCGATTGGGAGACTGTAGCCGTAGCCGCCCGTGACAGGAAGGCACTTGGGCGGGAGGCGGGCAAGCAGGGCAGAGGCCTCCTGCACCCGCTTCCGGGCCCTCTCCTTGGGGACCGACTTAGGGCCTTGCGTCCGATCCTTTGCAGCGGACCCACCAGTGGCGGCGGCGGCGGCAGCGCAGTGGTCGTCGATGAAACCCTGCACCTCGACCACCAAGCTTTGGGGGAGGGCATCCGGGCCATTGCCAGCCGGAGCCGTGGAGGCTGCTACGGCACCTCCTCTCTGCGGGGAGCGGTCGGTGGCGTTGCCACTCGCCGAGATGTCGAGGCCGGGGCGCACTCTATTCGACTTCTCTTGCGTTGGGCTATTTATCTGCCCTCGGGAGGGCGGCGGCGGCGGCGTTAGGGGCGGCGGCGAGCTCCCGGTTGCAAATACTCGCCTCACAGTCCAAGATGGCGGCTCGGCGCCCCCAACCGTGCACCAGCGTGCCTCTCTAGTCCCGCCTGCCACCCAGATAGCGAGGGCGGGGCGCACTCTTCGACTTGCACTTGGGCTATTATTTGCCACCGGGAGGGCGGCGGCGGCGGCGTAGGGGCGGCGGCGAGCTCCCGGTTGCAAATACTCGCCTCACAGTCCAAGAGATGGCGGCTTCACACGCCCAACCATGCTCTGGTGCGTCGATTGGGTCGCGTCTGCTGCCCGTGTCTCTGTCTTATCGGCGCGACGACAAACAACAAGCTCGACCCCACACCCTAACCCACACCCTAACCCTAACCCTAACCCTAACCCTTGCCTAACCCTAACCCAACCCTAACCCTAATCGGAAGAACTCAGAGAATGGTGTCATAGAGATTGCAGCCATCCTCCAGAGCCATGGCTGGTGGTAATTCGATGGCAGCCGATGGCAGCCGTCCCGCGAGGCCGGGGGCGACAAGCGCGCAGCCATTTGTGCGTGTGGCGGGGGAGGCGGACGGCTGCCATCGAATTATCACCAGCCATGCTCCGGAGGATGGCTGCACTGACTGTGCCCCAGCCATAGTAGATGGCTGAAATGGCTGTCCCCCAGCCATCTTTCCCAAGATGGCTATGATGTAGCCAGCTCAGCCAAGAGGGCTCACCTCGAGGCGGGCGGTGTGGCTGCGGTAGTGCGTCTCCAGCCATGTCTACCAAGGATGGCTGCCGTGTGTGTGTTGCAGCCATCGGGCTGGAGGATGTGGCTGCACTGCAGCTAGCTCAGCCATCCTTAGGTAAGGTTTCTGTGAAGGAGCCAGCACAGCCCATCTGTCACTTTTTCCGTGGTCAGCCCCCGCTCTGTACCAGGCTCTTAGGTAGGTAGGCTCTTGGGTGGCGTGCCCACTCACTCTTCACAACGAACTGTCACACAACTCGCGCTAGCCCGACCGCTCTCGCAATCGCGTTCGCCCCTTCACGCCCAGGGCGTGGACCATCAGCTACCATCAGAGTCATCCTCCTCCTCCTCTCCCCTCTCCCCGCCGCGCCGCTCGCCGGCCGGCTCCACGCCCGCAACCGCCACGCGGCCGGCTACGACATCGAGCGCCTGGCGCGCTCGTTTCCCTCGCTGCGAGAGCACGTGATACCCGCGAGCGGCCCTCGCGCTCGCGCCACCATCGACTTTGCCCGTCCCGGAGCCGTCGGGGCGCTCAACGCGGCCCTCATTGCCGTCGATTACGGGATCCGCGGCTTTGCGCTGCCCGACGGCCGCCTGTGCCCCGCGGTCCCCGGCCGCGCAGACTACCTGCACGTGATCGCCGACCTGCTCGCGGCCGACAACGGCGGCGGCGTGCCGCGCGGCCCCGCCGTCCGCGGCCTCGACATCGGCGTGGGCGCCTCGTGCATCTACCCGCTCCTCGGCCACGCAGAGTACGGCTGGTCCTTTGTCGCGAGCGACGTCGACGAGAGATCCATCTCGTCGGCGTCCGCCATCGCGCGCGCCAGCCGCACGCCCGTGGAGCTGCGGCTGCAGCCGCGCGGCGAGCGCGTGCTGGCGGGCGTGCTCGGGCCGCTCGACGGCCGCGTCGCCTTTACGCTCTGCAACCCGCCCTTCTACTCGTCGGCCGCCGAGGAGGCCGCCGCCGCCGCGCGCAAGTGGAAGGGCCTGCGGAAGGGCCGCGCCGCGGGGGGCCTCGGCGGCGCTCGCTCCTTTGGCGGCAGCGACGGCGAGCTGTGGTGCCCCGGCGGCGAGCGGCGCTTCGTGACGGCGCTGGTCCGCGAGAGCGCCCGCGCGCCGCACGCCGCGCTCTGGTTCACCTCGCTCGTCTCGAGCGGCCGCTCGCTGCCCAAGCTGCTCGCGGAGCTCTCCAGGGCCTCGCCGGCGCGCGTGGAGCAGCTCGGCGTCGCGACCGGCAACAAGGCGATGCGCGTGCTGGCGTGGAGCTTCCTCGAGGACGCGCAGCGCGGCGAGCGGCTGGCGGCCATGCTCGGCGGCGGCGGCGGCGGCGGCGGCGGCGGCGGCGGCGGCGGCGGCGGCTCGGGCGCCACGCTTGAAAGCGGCCGGCCGGCGCCGCGCCGCCGCGGGGCGGCGCGGCGCTCGCCACGCACGGCGCCGGCCCTGCGGGCGACGCGGCGAGCGTGCGGCTTCGCGTTCGGCGGGGCGCTGTCCCTCGGCCGGCCAGAGCGCGCTCGCGCCGACCTCGCCTCTGCTGGCGCGGGTGGCCTGCCGCTCGTCGGCCGCTTCGAGCGGCTCCAGGGCGCCAACGCCTTCGTCGGCCGCTGGAGGCTCCGCTGCACCGACGGCCCGGCGGGCACGCTGAGCCTGCTGCGCGACGGCGACGTGGAGCTGCGCTCGGAGGCGGGCGAGCTGCTGGGCACGGGGGTCGCCCCGTGGACGTATAGGCAGCGCGAAAAGGGCGCGTCGACGGTGCTCGTCCGCTTCTCGGTCGACGTCTCAGGCGGCGAGTGGGACGTGCTCTACTTCACGGGGGCAGTGGACGCGGAGGGAGGGCCCGGTCGGCGGCTCGAGGGAAGCCTCAGCACCGGCCTCGGCAGGAGGGTGGGCGAGTTCGTGGCGGAGCCATTGTGACGCAACGTGTGCAGTCATGGAATCTCTAGTCTTTCTTAGAGATTGAGAGGAGTGAGACCTGAAGATTTCAGGGCAGATCTGTCACAGACTCTATAGTCCCGCCCTTGAGATCTCCCAAATCTTCGTCGAGACTTCAGCCACGAAATCTCAGTCTTCCCGTCGCTCGGTGTGAGTTTCTAGAGGAAACGCGTGAGATCTCAAATGGCAAGATTCCCTTTCGCTTGGGAGTTTGACGATTTCGATCAGGGGTGGGAGAGACTGAGAAGACTGCAAGCAAGAGAGATTCCGTTTTCTATCAGAATGCTGTGAACTTCCTCGACCTTCCAACGCCTTTATCTGCCATCGTTCGAAAAACATCGCTTGGGCACCCGAAATCCAGCTATCCAGGGCAGCGTGACTCGAGATTTGAGATTGAGACTGACAACATGCTTCTGTGCGCCGCCCGACGGCGCCCATCTCGGGCTCCTCTACTGCAAGCGCTGCCCAAATTGCCGCGCCAAGCACAACCTCTCATATGCCGAGGAGTCAACTCGGCTGGCTCAGGGCAAGCAGGTGCCGTATATGACGGCGCGATGGATCGGACTCGCAAGTACGTCCAGCTGTCGCGAGACATCATCTTTGAGGGCGAGATGCTGTGGCGCCTCGACACGCAGATGCTCCACTCGCACACCGGCTTTGAGCCGTACGCCAAGGAGTGGACGACCTTTGCCGACGAGCCGCCGCAGCGGCTGGTCGAGCCTTTGCAGAAGCCGCTGTCCCACGCCTGGCTCGCGTGGACGCTCCTCCGCTTGTGTAATACCCTTTCGTGCATGCTCTGTTCGTTTGACCCCTCTGTGTACTAGCCATCTACTGGTAGCCCCGCCCCTATCCCTATACAGTACTCCGGTTTGCAATGTCCTCGTTCCTGTTTGCATATCCTCGTTCGCGGCATATCAGCTAAAGCCTTTCATCTAATTCGGCGTAGACCGCGCGCGCAGCGCGCTCCGTGTTTGCAGACCGCCCTGGCGGACTCATTTACACTTCCAAGCTCAAGCCAGGCGCCGCAGGCCACAAAGAGGAGCGCAGATTAAAATGGCGCCGCAGGCTCCCCGGGCCCCAAATCTCAATCTCAAATCTCAATCTCAAATCTCAGACCTCAGACCTCAATCTCCCTGCAGGTGTCAAACCCACCCAACCCTTCTAGAAGCTTCGAGGCTCTTGTCAGTATTCATACCGCAAATCTCCAAATCTCAGCTCTCAAATCTCTAGGTTGGAAGGCCCCGTCCAAATCTTCAGTCTCAAATCTTGGATCTCGAGCGAACTCGGACCGCAGATTCCTTTTGGTGTGGGAAATCTCATTCTCCAAGTCTCTGGTCTCAAATCTCGCTGGGTAGCACTGTAGTGTGTAGACCCGAGTGGAGTCTTTCAAATCTTTAAGCTCTCAATCTCTAAAAAAGACTAGATATTTCCATTACTCAACGTGTGTAAATAGGAGCAGCAGGGACCCGAGGGACCATGTGGAAGACGGCTAGTGCTAGTCCCCCATCGGGAGGACGACCCCGGCTAGTCGCCGACCACACCCACAAAGAACCCTGCACAAACATCGCAAGGGCGGGGACCTGTTCCTTTTTACCCATCTCACAGTAGAGGTGTCCGTTTTATTTACTTATTTTCGTACGACGTACCTCAGGGTCTTTGGTAGCCGGACAGCCGGAGTAGTGCTAACGTGTAACGAGTATAGAGTTCAGCGCGGAGAGAGCGAGCGGGCGAGTTCTCAGACGAGCCGCGCCCCCGCGTGCCGTGTGCGGTGTGCATGCACATGCACATGTTAAGCGGAATGCAACTCGTGGGGCGAATGCGTGTCCCAAACTGCCACGCTCGCGACGTCTTGTCGTGTATCGTAACCCACACGCCACACACGGTCTCTCACACGCGTCCACTCTCTCTGACTCGGCCCCACGGCCCGCCTCTCTCGATTTGACCCTCTCGCTCGCTCTGAGACGCACACCACACATGCCGAGAGGTGGGGACAGTTCAGAGAGGGGCGACCCGATGGCGAAGAGGCAGCCCCGACCCAATCGGAGACTGCGCGGCCAGAAGATACAAAACTGGGCCCGGCGTGGGCCGTGGCGGTCGCCGCGCCGGCGCCGACCCCGCGGCTGTGACCCGGGCCCTGGCTACGGCCCTGGCTACGGCCCTGGCGCGATCCCGGCGCGCTCGCGCCAGCTCGCCAGCAGCCCCACGCCACGGCGGGGAGGCGGCGGCTCAGCTGCGGGCCATCGGGCTCGTCGGCACCGGCGCGAGCGGCGCCTCCGCGCCGCTCGGCGCGCCCCGCCCGGCGCCGCGCCCCTGCGCCACCGCCTCGCTGAGGAAGGCCTCGAGCGCGTCAAAGTAGCCGTCAGGGTTCGCCTCGACGAGGTTGTCGTGGTTGGCGCCCGGGACGATGTACGGCGGCCTCCGGTGCTGCTGCGGGACGCGCGCGTACAGCCCGTCCGTGTGCGACTTGTCCACCGTGCTGTCGTGCGTGCCGTGTAGCAGCAGCACCGGGCTGCGCACCTTTTTGATGCGCGCCAGGTTTGGGAAGGGGTCGCACAGGCTGTACACGCAGACGGGGTTGCAGCAGCCGCTGAGCGAGCAGCAGCCCCCGTGCGGCGGGATGAGAACGCGCAGCCCCGACATGAGCGGCGTGTGCAGGACCACCCCCGCGACGGCGCACCGCGCCGCCAGCCAGAGCGACGGCGCAGAGCCGACCGACTGGCCGTACAGCAGCAGAGAGGACGAGTCGACGCCGCGCGAGCGCAGGTAGTCGTGCGCAGCCTGGATGTCGGCGTAGCAGTTGGCCTCCGACGGCGCGCCGCTCGAGGCGCCGTAGCCCGAGTAGTCGTACGCGAGCACCTGCGGAGGAGGGGCGGGAGACATATGGCGAGGGCGGGAGATGGTGACGAGGAAGGAAGAGGAGGGCGGGGCGAGGGCGGGCGGCGGCGCGGCGAGGCGGGGCGGGGCGAGGGCGTGCGGCGGCGGGGCGCGGACCGAGACGCCCATCTGCGCCGCGAGCCCCAGCAGGAAGAAGTACATCTCACCAATGTCCATCGCGTTGCCGTGCGACCAGAGCAGCGTCGCGCGCGCGGCGGGGTGGACAAAGTGGAGCAGCGCGACGCTCGAGCCGCGCGACGTCTCGACGCGCGCGCAATCGACGCGCACGGCGCCGCCGGCTGCGTTCCGCTGCAGGTTTTCGTGCGCCGCCGCCATCTCGGGGTCGCAGAAGCGGATCCGCAGCTTGCCCTCGTGCGCCTCCATCGTGTACGACGCGGGCGACGGCGGGAAGAAAGCAAACTGCGAGACGACGCGGTCGATCGAACAGCGATTATTGCAGAGCAGGCAGCCGATCGCGGTGCTCATGACACAGCCCATGACTAGCAGTCTGCCACGGCGGCGGAGTGGAAGGAGGGGCGCCTGTGGCTCTAAAGCTGTCGTCCTTGCTCGCTCCAAGTTCGACGATAAGAATTTTGCCGCTTTGAATTCGTTGAAGATGAGCAGGCGAAAGAAGCCGCGAGAACAAGGGACCGGCAGGTGGCGGCGTCGCAGGACGAGGCAGAAGAGAACAACGCGTCAGAGGAGGAAGTGACAAGGGAGAGAACGACGAGGGTGGGACGACCGCGAGGTGGCATGAAGGTTGCAGCGAGAATCGGCGAGAGACTGCGAAGAGAGATAGGAAGAGGCAGACTCCCTAGGGTGGGCGACGGATAGCGCACCACACACCTCTCCTTAAAATCCCTGTGTGGTGGCGGCGTGCCGTCCTCCCATCCCTCCCTTGGGTTGTCTGTTTTCTTTCTTTCTTTCATGAGCGCGCGCGTCACAGCGCAGGCCAGGTCTACACTGGCCGCGGCACCAGCTCCCGCGGTCTGCACGCTAGGAGTGGTCCGCCCTCGCAATGAATGCGGAATACTATTACGAAAAGTACAACTAGTGCGACACACTAGTCAGTCTCGTAATCGCGCCAAGAGCGCGGATACACACACAAACAACAGGCGCGGCTATGAATAGCTGCGCATATACAGATAACGACTGTTCACAGTTGGGAGAGAGAGAGTCGTCTCTAACGCTCCCCCCTAGTTGCATCGGCAACTATCTCGGACGACTCGCGCGTCTTCGGCGAAGGGGTGATGACTCACGCCTTGCCGACGGTCGCGACGAGCTTGCTCCACAGCCGGGCAGCCTGCCCCTGGAGCGTCACAGCAAAGCCGGGGCCGTTGCTGGCGTTGAGCATGTAGTCCGCTCCGCACCAGTGTCGAGAATTGCCCTTTTAAATGTTCTTGACCAGGAGGGCGTAGGCCTGCTTGCGGCGGGTGCGGTACAGGGCTTGCATCTTCTGCGAATGCTGTGCAGCGCCAGCCGGCAGAGGTGGAGCGCCGACGGCGGTTCCTCCCATGTCCGCACCAGTGAAGACATCCGCGACGCTGGAGCCGGATTCGTCAGTCCGCTCCGCACCAGTGTCGAGAATTGCCCTTTTCCTCTCCTTGAAAGGATCGCCAGATGTCCCATCCCATTGGATGACGGACGGCATGTCTTTGTCACGGTTGTTGCTAGACATGCTACGTAGTTACCCCTCAGTCGGCTCCACGTTGAAGATGAGCGCGCGCGTCACAGCGCAGGCCAGGTCTACACTGGCCGCGGCACCAGCTCCCGCGGTCTGCACGCTAGGAGTGGTCCGCCCTCGCAATGAATGCGGAATACTATTACGAAAAGTACAACTAGTGCGACACACTAGTCAGTCTCGTAATCGCGCCAAGAGCGCGGATACACACACAAACAACAGGCGCGGCTATGAATAGCTGCGCATATACAGATAACGACTGTTCACAGTTGGGAGAGAGAGAGTCGTCTCTAACGGAATTGGCGCCGCGACATCATCCGGCCCGCTGGGTGCGCTCCTCAGCTCCCTGGCCCTGGATGTGCGGTTGATGACTGCACTCCAAGTGCTCCAAGTGCGACCTCCAAGTGTCTTCTGAATAAACGCAGTATGGAAGATACAAAGAGACGGAGGAGCAACGAGCGCCCTGGCGTGAGCCGAAGACACTCCCTCCGTAGACACTGATCACACACGGGTGGGACAGGGTGGGTCACAACAACGAGGAGAGCGTGCACGACAGAGCGACGGCGCAGCGTACCGCCGTCCAGCTAAAAAGCGGCGGCCGACGGTTGCTGCGCAAAGTGATCAGTTCTAAAATAGGTGCCGGGGCCCAACGGATAGATGAATCCGGGGCACCCTCCGCTCGAATCCCTGGCCGGGGGTTCGAGGTGGCCCCCACCCTGGGGCCTCCCATGAAAGGGACTGCGGCAGAAGACGCCCAATCTTGCACAAGTGCAAGAACCATACGTCTTCTGAATAAACGCAGTATGGAAGATACAAAGAGACGGAGGAGCAACGAGCGCCCTGGCGTGAGCCGAAGACACTCCCAACTGCGCTCCGTCACCGGTGTCGCGGTCTCCCCCACTGAGGACGATCTGCGGGGGGGAGTCGCGCCGCCGGCATGTATCTGTGCAACTGTGTTTTTGCCTTGTCCCGTTTGATGGAGCAAAGTCACGGGCCGCCCGCGCTTGAAGGCGGTCGCGCCAGGCGCGGGCGGCACTAGTTGCCAGCACTGCGTTGAGCTCCACGTCGGCCTCAATCCGGACCCCCTCGACGAGATTACTGAGCAGCCGTTGGTCTGGGTAGTCCGCCAGCTCGCGCTTCAGCATCTCCAGGTTCAGATGCGATTTGAAAGGCGCGTGGAAGTCGAGGGGGACGCAGCACTCGGAGGCGCTAAACGTGCAATCGAAGTAGCGGCCGCGCGCCCAGGGGCAGTGCTGCTCCTGCGTGACCACCACCGTGCTCGGGCGCCGGCGCTCCGCATTTGCCCCGTGCTGATGGATATTGAGCAAGTCGTCTCGCGACTCTGCGAAGAAGCGCTCGACCTGCTGCCGCGCCGCCGGGTCGCAGATGAAATCCGTCACTCGCCGAACGCAGAACGGCGTTGGTGACATGTCCTGCTGGGGCCGCCGCGGTAGCCAGGCCTGCTTAATCGGTTCGTACGGCTCGGAGAACGTCAGGTCATCGAGGCCGGAAGCGTCGAAATTGGGCAGGTCCGCGAAGAGGTCAGACGGTATGTCCCCCGGGTTGATATCGATCACACCGGTGGCAGCGCAGGATGAGGCGGCAGCAGAGGAGGGTTGGGGCGCATTTGAAGGCGCTGGCCCCGACGCGCCATTAACTGGGTCGGGGTGGTTCCTCACCCCTCTGGTTTCAGTCAAGCGGGAAGAGTCTGTGCAAGGGGGGCGGATGGGGCTGGCTGCGTCACCTTGGAGCATGAAAGGTTCCTACGGTAAGGCTACTCGGGCACGCAGCGCCTTGGCTTGGCCCCCGAGCGGGGAGGCGGTCGACGACGCGCAGCATGGCGGTGAGCGCAGCCTGACGACGCGTCTTGATGGACGGATCCTTCTGCCGACTGACCAATGCCGCCCACCTCTTGATCGGCGGCTTCGTCACCAACATGCGCTCGAGAGGCGGAGCAGCCTCGATGCGATCCAGTTCGGTAGCTATCTTGTCGCGCAGCGCATCGTCAAAAGGCAGGTTGTTGCAGGCGTCGCGCGCGTCCCCGAGGTCACGCAGGAGGCTCTCCATATGTGTTGCAATAGCCCCCGGCGCTGTGGTTGCAGTGCTCCCGTCGTGCGATGTCTTGGCACCAGCTAGCTGAAGGCTTGCGTCCCACATCACATGGTTTCTCGGTATTCGGATTTTGCTATTTGCTCGTGTGGGGGTAAATTGCAGATTTGTCAATGGTACCGCGTCTGCGACGCGGGCGCCTTGCGGGCAGAGCCCTTAGCCACCCTTCATATCTTGCGCGGTCAAAATCCCTGTGCGGTCGCGGCGTGCCGTCCTCCTATCCCTCCGCTTGGTTGTCTGTTTTCTTTCTTTCTTTTGGGTTCCAGGAAGCAAAGAAAAGTAAAAAAAGGTGGTTGCAAGGCTACGAGTGCATGTGCATGTGCATGTTGTTGTCATGTAGCACAACGAAAAATCCAATTTATCAAGTCCAGTGAGGGTGAACCTTCTTTTCTAGACGGCTAGGATTGAGAGCAGCCTCGCTCTCAATCCTAGAAGTCGAAGGATTGGGAGCAGCACTCCTCGCAATCGTGGCATCTCTGTGCGATTGTGAGCGCCTACGCTCGCAATCCCACATCTTCTAGGTACTAGGATTGCGAGCGGGTCCCCTCGCAACGTGGGATCGCGACTGTTTGGATTGTGAGGAGACCATCCCGGCGCGCTCACAAGCGCTCGCGGCTGGAGCGACTGGTTGGGCTTTCGCAGGTTTTTTCCGGCAAACAAAAAGGAAAACAGAGGGTCCCCAGCACTTTGCGTTTCCGGAAATTTCCAGGGGAAACAGAGCTCAGAGGGTGTTTGGTGCTCCATTCAGCATTCTGGAAACTCGCGAGTTTCCCTGAGTCCGAGAGCTGGTCTGGGGCAAAATCTGAGGCAAAATTGAGGAAATCGACAAAATACCCAGGCGGTCGCAGGGTAATTTCCAGGTGCATGCACATGTACACGGGTTCTCCGCGAAATTCCCGGCATTTTGCCGATTTGGGCCTAAAATTTGGCTGATTTTGGGCCCAAACCAGCCTCAGACTCGGCTCAGAGCCCAAAATTTGACGATTTCCACGCAGTTTTCCCGGGAAAATAAGAAAGAAAAGAGAGGGTGTTGCAGAGAAAAAAGGAAAGGAAAACAGACGCGAGACGGGGTGCGAGAGGCAAACCTGCGAAAGCCCAAGCGACTGGGAGCGCCCCCTGTGCGCCTGCCAGCAATCCTTGGATCTTTGGTACGATTGTGAGCGCAGCCGCTCATAGTCCTACATACATACAAGATGTAGGATTGCGAGCGCTACTGCTCGCAATCGGAGGCATGTTGCTCGGATTTGTGAGCAGTGCTGCCCGCAACCCTAGACTTTGCTCGGATTGCGAGCGCGCTGGTAGTAGTCGTAGGCGTCACCAGCCACCTTGGGAGCGAAGCTGCTCGTAGTCCTAGAAGAGAGAGATTTTTAGAAGCCAACAAGAAATGTGTCACACAGAGTGATTTGCAATTGCGCTCGGCAGCTTGTCGACTACCAGCCGGAGCCGGAGTCGGAACCGTAGCCGAGATGGTCTTCGAGGGTGTCGAATATGTCATTCGCCTCGCTAGTGGAGCCGGTGCCGCATGAGTCGCGGTCGGAGGAGGAGTCGTCGGAGGAGCGGTCGGACCGCTCGCGCTTGTCGCGCCTGATGCGCTCTGCGCCGAAAATGGAGAACTCGCGCTTGTCGCGCCTGATGCGCTCTGCGAGGGGGCCGGGGTCGTGGTCGTCGTGCTCGAGCGTCGGGTAGGTAGCGCGCCTTGCGACCTTGTCGGCCGAGCTGCCATCCCAGTAGAAGGTATACCAGTCGCCGCGGGGGTAGAACCAAGCGTTTACCAATCTGTACCATCCGAGAGCGGCCGCCTGAGCGGCCTGAGCAGCCGCCTGAGCAGCCGCGCGCTAGAAGATGTAAAGAGATGTAGGATTGCGAGCGTAGGTGCTTTCTTAAATTTTGGGTATTTAGCGTGCCACAAGAGACAAGGGTTGGGCGTGCTCCTCACTCCCTTCGTTGCGTTCCTTTGGCACGGGCGCTTCATGTAACATGCTGAGGCTTGCTCCGCCTCCGAGGAGCCTACAGACCGTATGCAATTAATTTCCTGCGGCCAGGTTGCTACTCCGAGACGTCGGATAAGCACCAACGGCCAATGCACGAGGGGGTGTCGGTGGAGACTTGTTCACACCGGTATGCCTTGCCCTTTTGGTGCTTCTAAGTAGACGGCTATGCTCTTAGTAGACTGTGGATGTGTTCACAGTCATGTGTGGAATTTCGGCGGGCCGAAATTCCTTTGTCCGCGGCGTCTTTTAGGCCGACGGACTTTTAGAGTCTTGTACAGCAGTGGCGGTCCGCGCACTGCGGTTTCTCTTGCTGCCGGCTGTCCGCCGACAGTCGAGTTCTGGCGCCTCATTTCTCCAGCGCCCGGTCGCCATCACTCAGCCGGTCGCACCATATAATGGAGCGGCTCGACGAGGACGACGACATCACCGAGGAGGAGCACGTCAGCCACGCTTTGCAGCGCTTCGCGGCGGGCGGGCATCCTCGTAGCGACAGCCCCGACGGCACCGTCCCCACCGAGTACCTGCAGCAGGACCACGATGAGACCCTCGAGCTCCCGGCGCACCAAGACCAGCGGCCCGGCGCCTGCTTCCTCTGCATGGCCGCGTTTCCCGTCGTCACGCTCCTCGCCATCGTCGCACTCTCGTTTGGCGCGGGCCTGTGGGTGCTCGCGACGCCGGCGGAGCGCTTCTCCGTCGACGACGCCCTCTTCACCGACGCCTCCAACCGAGACTGCATCCTCTTCCGTCTGCAGCGCTCCGGCGAGCTCTTTCAGCATTCCGCCTCCGCCTACATGCAACCCTCGCCGCGCCGGGCCCTCGCCTCGCTGGCGCCTCCCGCCGACCAGCCGCGGCAGCCCTCGCCGCTCTCGGGTGAGCGCCGCCGCCGCCGCAGGCCTCGCCACCCGCGGGTCCGCCGCACCTCCTCACCCCACGCCGCGCCTCGTCTGCGATTCAGGGCTCAACCGGTCGGCCACGCCTCGCCTCGCCTCGCGCCGCCTCGGCTCCTCGCCTCGCTCCTCCTCCTCCTCCGCCTCGTGCAGCTCCAGCCACCTGCCGCGCAATTCAGTGTGGCTCGTCCACACGGCTCGCCGCGACGGGTCGATCCTCGAGCCTCGCGCCACATCACGTCGTGCATCACACTCATGTTCTCTGACACTGCGTTGCACAGGTCGATCCTGGAGCCTCGCGCGCTGGCGCAGGCGCGGCTACCTCGAGCCGCCGCGCTCTTCCGGGACCCTTCCGGGACCCTTCCGGGACCCGTCCGCGAGTCTCTTGGCGTAGGCGCGGCTCGTCGAGCTCGAGCTGACTCGCTGGGCACCTGTTCACAGCAAGAGGTGTGAAGAGACGCTGTTCACAGGTGCGGCTCGTCGAGCTCGAGCTGACTCGTTGGGCGGCGGAGGGGAGGGACGGGCAGCCGCACTGCGAGGAGTGGAGGCCTCCTCTGCCGGGCGAGATCTAGCCGAGATCTGGCCGAGATCTGGCCGAGATCTGGCTGAGATCTAGCCGAGATCTGGCCAAGATCTGGCCGAGGTCTGCGCTCTAGTGGCCTCCTCTACGAGGCGGCTCTGCCCGCGGGAGGGGGGACCCGAGGGAGGGGGGACCCGAGGGAGGGGGACCCGAGGGAGGGGGACCCGAGGGAGGGGGACCCAAGGGAGGGGGGACCCGAGGGAGGGGGGAGGAGCGGCCAGACCCGAGGGAGGGGGGAGGAGCGGCCTTGCGAGTGCGTCTCCTCCTCCTCCCCCCCCTCCTCCCCCCTTCCCCAGGCGGCTTGCCCGCGGGAGAGCAGCAGCCCTGCGAGTGCGAGTCCGTGGACTCGGTAGTCAACTACCTCTGGCCGGCCGTCGAGGAGGGGGAAAACCGGGAAAACCCCCCCCTTTTTTTTGAGTTCCCCCCCCCTGGGGGCCCCCCCCCGCCCGAAAAAAAGGGGGCGGAGCCCCCTTTTGCCCCCAAAAAAAGGGGGGGGGGGGTTAAGTGGCCCCCCCCCCCCCCCAGGCCCGGTTTTTTTTGGGGGGAGGGGGGGAAAGCCCCCCCCCCCCCTTTTTTCCCCGGGGCAAGAATTTGCCTTTTTGGCCCCCCCCCCCCCCCCCCCCCCCCACGCCCCAGGCAGCTCCTCGCCGACCTGGGCCTCGCCCCGCCGCCTCGCGGCCCCGCCAAGAGAGACCTCGTCGCCCTCCGCTCGAAGCTCACCCTCCGCGGGATGAACAGCGAGGACTGGCGCGCAACTTCACAGAGCGGGAGACAGCGCACTTCCGGAGGGGTGGGGGGGGGGCGGTGGACCGCGAGCCCCTCCGAGCTTCCTCTCCCCTCCTCCCTCCCCCCTCCTCCCTCCTCCCTCCTCCCTCCTCCCTCCTCCCTCCTCCCCTCAGGCGCGACCTCGCCGGGCTGCTCGCACGCCTCTCGCAGCAGTACCCCCTGATCCGTGAGACATAGCCGAGAGCCAGCCGAGAGCCAGCCGAGAGCCGTGCGCCGGCCTCGCCTTTCCGCCCCTGCCCACCCCTCCCCCTCCTCTCGCGCGACCCTCTCGCGCAGGCACCTACTACGGCGGCGGCACCTCTCTCCTCTACGGCGAGCTGATGGCCTCCCTCTCGCACGACCTCTGGCTCCTGCTCCTCGCCTGCGCCCTTGTCGGCGGCTACATGCGCCTCTACTTTCGCTGCGCGCGGATGGCGGCGCTGGCGACCGCCCAGCTCCTCCTCTCCTTCCCGCTCCTCTACTGGTGCGTCTGCGTCCTCGGCGGGGTGCAGAAGCTCTCCGCTTTCTCCGCCGCGTCGCTCTGGGTGGTTGTCGGCGTCTCGGCGCACCCGGCGCGGCGCGAGCTGCTGCGAGAGGCGGGCGCACCCCTCACGCGAGGGGGGGGGTGACACCACAGGCGGACAACATGTTTGTCTACTGCGACACGTGGGCCCAGTCCGACAAGCTGCGCTGCCGCGGCGAGCCGCTTTCCCTCGCGGCGCGCCTCCGCTGGACCTGCCGGCAGGCGCTGCCTCCGCTGCTTGCGGCGGACCTCACCACCGCCTTCTCCCTCCTCATCAACTGCTCCTCGGCAGCGCCCTCCGAACCCCCCGCCCCGCCCCCCCCCTCCCACACCCCTCCCCCCGCCCCCTCCCCCACCCTCCCCCTCCCCCCGCCCTCTCCCGGCTCGGCCGCGGGGCGCAGCACGCGCCACGCTCACCGCACTCGCCTCCCCGCCGCCAGGCGATCCCCGCCGTCTTCCAGTTCGGCCTGTGCGGCGGCGCGCCTCTCCCCCTCCCGCCCCCAGCCCTCCCCGGCGGCCCCTCGAGCATCGGGGCGGCAGCCGCGAGTGTCGTCCACTGTCGCCTCCCCGAGCCGCAGGCGTGCTCATCCTCATCAACCTCGCCCTCGCCCTCACCTACCTGCCTCCCCTCCTCGTCCTCCGCGAGCAAGGCGCACGCTGCTCCCTCCCACACCACACTGCTCCCTCCCACACCACGCTGCTCCCTCCCACACCACGCTGCTCCCTCCCACACCACGCTGCTCCCTCCCACACCACGCTGCTCCCTCCCACACCACACTGCTCCCTCCCACACCACACTGCTCCCTCCCACACCACGCTGCTCCCTCCCACACCACGCTGCTCCCTCCCACACCACGCTGCTCCCTCCCACACCACGCTGCTCCCTCCCACCGCGGCCCCGCGGCGAGGGGCCTTCCCCACGACCCCTCTCGCACCTGTACCGCAGGCGCCTTCGGCCTCCACCGCGAGCCGCTGCCCGAGCCGCAGCGCGCCGCGCAGGCGCGGCGGCTGCGCGACCTCCACGCCTGCTGGTTCGCCTCGCGACGCGCCGTGCTGTGCGGCTTCGCGGCGTTGCTGCTGCTGCTCGCGCCGCTCGCGCTCTCGCTGCAGTACGGGTTCGACGACACCTTCACCTTCGCGCCCGACCCGACGATGCAAGCCGTCATCGACCGCGCGCGGGGCGGGCCCAACGGGTCGGCGCTCTTCCCCTCCGACCGGATGATGAGCGAGCGCCGCTCGCGCGCCCTCCGGGTGAAGAATGATCAGACCCTCGCCGTCGGCTTTCTGCCTCCCGACCCGCCCCCCGGCCCGCCGCCGCCGTCGCCGCCGCCGTCGCCGCCCGGCGCTCCGTTCTTCGCGAACGCGCCGCCCACCCTGCCCGGCACCGGCTACGCCTTCGAGGAGGAGGCGCGCGAGGCGAGGGACAAGGAGCTCGCCGCGGCCTCCCGCCCGCTGCTCGCCGCCGCCAGCTGCGGCTGCGACGTCCTCTTCAACCACTGCGGCGGCAAGGCCGCCTGCCTCAACCTCGCGACGGCCGAGGAGTGCCCGGTCGAGGCGGAGCGCGTGGCCTCGCTGCGCACGTGCGACCTGGCGGACGTCGGCGAGCTGTGCAAGGGGCAGGGCGAGTGCGGCACCGACGAGCACGCGGCCAACTGCCGGTACGGCGACGAGCCCCAAATCGAGCGCGCCGTCTACCGCCGGGTGGCGCTGCCGATCGGGATGTGCGGGCTGCGGCCGGACAAGAAGCTCTGCCGCGGCCACGACCGCTGCCTCGAGCCCGTGTCCGAGACGGAGTGCCCCGCGACGGAGGCGAAGGCCGACGCGCTCCGTAAGTGCGACGACGGCGCGCTGAGCGTCGGCGACCTCTGCGAGGCGGACGGCGAGTGCATGACCGACTTCCTGCTCAACAACTGCCTGTACGGCGACCTCTCGCAGAAGAACAGGGACGTCTACCAGTTCAAGTCGACGCCCGGGCCGAGCGAGGACGAGCGCGCGCGCTCGAGCTGCGTGCACATCGCGCCGCACTGCAGCCGGGACGGGTCGGACAAGGGCGGGCCGGTGCGACGCGGCAGCCGCCGGGGCGGCGTGTGGACGCCCCCCTCAGAGGCCCCCCCCCCCCCGCTCACACGCCCTCCCCCCGCCTCCTGCAACGCCCCGGGCCAGGTCGCGCTGGACGGGATGCTCGAGGTGGATGACTGCCCCAAGAGCGCCGACGAGGCGCGCTCGCTCAAAAAGTGCTCCGACCCGGCGCTGCAGATCGGCGAGCGCTGCGAGGCGGACGGCGAGTGCGGCACCGACGTGCAGCTCAACAACTGCCTCTACTACATGGACTCCTTCTGGGGCGCGCTCTCCGCCTTCACGGGCGACATCTACCGCAGGGTGGAGATGCCCGCCTCGGCGGCGGCGCTCCCCGACGACCTCAAGGGCCTCCTTGCCGTGGAGCTGCCCGACTACCACGAGGCGCTGCTCCGGGCGGGCCCGGGCGCGGCCGACGCCGGCGAGCCGGTCGACGTGCGCGCGCGCCCGCCGCGCCCGCCGCGCCCGCCTCGCCCGGACACGCCCGGACGCGCCCTGGCCCGCCGCGCCCGATCCCCTTGTGCCGCGCTCGCCCGCGCAGGCGCGCGCCGGCCGGACGTACGGCGTGCTGCTTGGGATGCTCTGCCTGCTCGACGGCGGGCTGCTGCTGCAGCTCGGGCATGCGCTGCGCACCCTCACGCCGCTCGCCATCTGGCACCCTCCGCTCGGCGCGGGCGGCGCGCTCACCGCCCTCTCGTCGCTCGCCGCCGCCGCTGCCGGGGGCGTCGCCGCGGTGCTCGGCGTGCTGGCGCTCGCGCTCCCCCTCTCCCTCTGCTACTTTGCGAGCGACGCAGAGGGGCTGCTCGGGCACGTTCTCGGGGTGCTGCTGCTGCTGCACTCCGCCGCGCTCGCGCTGCTCTGCCGCTCCCTCGCGGCGCGCGGCGGCGAGCCGTACGGCATCCTCGGCCCGTCGCACTCGATGCTGCGCCACCCCGCCGCCTCGACCCGCGGCACGGCAGCCGGCTCGCTCGCCTGCCTCGGCGGCGGCATCGCGGTGCTGGCGACGGTGGGCACCGTCTTCCCGAGCGGGGTGAGCGGCGACGTCGGGCTGGGCTGGTCGCTCAGCGGGCTCCGCGGCGAGGCGCTCCTCCTCGCGCTGGTGTGGCACGGCCAGTCGGTCGCGGTGGGCGCCGCCGCACGCAGCGCCTTCGATGGGCACTCTTCCGGCGCGGTGCGCGCCCAGCCGGGCCTGCGCTACCCCCTCGCGGCACTCGCGGCGGCGCTGCAGCTGGGCGGGTGGGGGCTGCTCCTGCTCGCCGGCTCGAGCAGCGCGCTGCACGCCGTCTTCGGCGCGGCCGGCCAGACAGTCGTCGGCGACCTCCTCGCCGCGTCGCTCCTCGCGAGCGGCGTCTGCCACGCGTTGGCCGCGGCGGCGGCGGGCCTCGCCGCGCCGGTGTGGCTCTTCCAGCCGTCCGACTGGGCGCGGCGCGACCCGCAGCTCGTCAAGAATTTGCACGGCGCGGTGGCCGTCGGCTGCGTCGCGGGGAGCGTGTGGGCGTTGCGCGCCGCGCACAACCCGCCCCTCGACCTCGACTTCGCGTGGAACGGGCTGCGGCCCCTCTCCGCCGCGGAGCTGCAGGCGCAGGTCGTCGCCGTCTTCCTCGGCATCGTCTGGGGCGGCGGCGCGCTCTTCTGCGCCGCGGTGTACTTCGTCCACCGCGAGGAGCGGCCGTGGTTCCTCCTGCGGCCCGTCGAGCCGGCAGGCAGGCGGCGCGTCGTCTTCGGCGCCGCCGCCGTTGCGCTCGCGCTCCTCGCGGCGTGCGTGCTGCTGCTGACGCGCTCGACCCTCGCCACCGCGTACGCCCTCGGCCCCACCGGCCGGATCGGCCTCTTCTTACTCGCGCCCTCGCTGCTGGTGACGGGCGTGCCGCTGCTCAAGCTCGCCAAGGCGATGAAGGCGAACGTACACCTCGGCATCTTTGCGCCGTGGGCGGGCGAGCCGTGGCCGCCGCCCGGCTCGCTCGGCCACACCGTGCAGCTCGTCTGCATCCTCGGCATCGTCGCCGCGTGCAACTCGGGCGCGCTCATCTCCCTCATCCTCGCTTGCATCCCGGACGACGCGGAGCTTGGAGGCGGCGGCTTCGACGGGTACGCGCTGCAGCTCTCGCTGCTCACTGGCACCGACGCCGTGCTCCTCGCCGCCGCCGCGATGGCGCAGGCGTCGCAGCGCCCGTCGCTGTGCTTCCGGCCGCTCGTCGCGTCGACCGCGCACCGCGAGGCCCTCGCGGACTTGCTGGTCGCCCTCTCCGGCGCCGCCCTCGCCGTGTGCCTCGCCATGCTGCGCTGCTCGGCCGACGCCGAGGTCGCGGGCGGCGTCTCGGGCTGGCCGCGCCTGACGCCGGTCGCGGTCGAGCTGTCGCTCAACGTGCACGCCGTCGCCTTTGCCGCCGCCGCGCACGCGATGCGCCACTGCATCGCGCTCGGCCCCTTCCAGCCGCCCCGCGTCTCCACGCACGCCGCCTGGCCGGCGCAGGCCGCCGCGGCGCTGGCGGCCGCGTGCTGTGGGCTCGCGCTCCTCCAGCCGCTGGCGGAGGCGCGCTACTGGGAGGCGGCCGCCAACGCGCTCGCGATGGCCCTCCTCGTCGCGACGGCGCTCACGCACCTGCTGCTCACCTCGCGGATCGTCGTCTGGCGGCGCGGCGAGCCCAACCCGCCGCGCGTGAGGTGGGGCGCCGTCCTGCTCGCGAACGGCGTGGCCGCCGGCGTCGGCGGCTGCCTCGTGCGGGCGTGCTTCCTGCCCGGCGCCGTGTCGCTGGCGCACTCGTCGCTGGTGCCCTCCACGCTCGTCCTCCTCGTGAGCTGCTCCGGGTTCGCCGCCCTCACCTGGCTGCCCGCCACCGCCACCGCGCTGGCGTGGTACACGGGCGAGCCGTGCCTCGGCATCACGGACGACGAGGCGCCCTCGGAGAAGGACCGGCCGAGCTGCGCGCTGCTCCTGCTGCTGCTCTCCCTGCTCTGCTCGGGCGTCGGGGCGGGCCTGGGCGTCGCCGCGCGAGTGGTTGTCCGGTTCGAGTCGGTGCCCGCCGGCGAGAAGATGCCCGCTACCTTCCTCGCAGCGGCCGAGGTGTGCGACGTCTTCTGGGGCGTCGAGCTGGTCGAGGCGGGGGAGCCGAAGGCGCGCTACACGCTGAGCAGAGGGGCGGGCAGGACGATGCTCAGGGAGGACCAGTCGGCGCTCGTCGAAGCCTGCGCCCAGCTGAACAAGCCGTGGTCGAGCGACAACCCAAACCCGTCGCACCCGATCGAGCGGGCGGACTGCGTGATGAGCGACTTCAAGGAGTGGCTGCTCAAAGACAAGAGCGGGGCCGAGGCCGAGGCCGCCTTCCCGCTCGAGCCCGGCGAGTTTGCGCCGCAGATGCACAGCTTCCTCTCGGCCACGCCGCAGTACCGCGAGATGGTGGGCTTCACCGGCCCAGACTTCGCGGCGGTGAGCTGGCTGCGCGTCCGCGTCCGCGCAAAGTTCGACGCGCGCGGGACGGCGGCGCTGCGGCTGCTCGCCGACCCGCAGCTGCTCGCGCACTACAAGCAGGAGTGGGAGGGCTGGTTTAGGAGCCTCGAGGGCGTCGCGGCGCGCGGCGTCTCGAGCTGCCCCAAGTGGAACATGCTCGCCACCGAGGACGCCTTCTTCCGCGGCGTCTACTCGGCGCTGCTCTGGACGCCGCTCTTCTCGATGGCGGCGGTGCTCGTCTTCTCGCGCTCGCTCGCCGTCGCGTACGCCGCGCTCTTCTGCCTCCTCGGGATGGTCGCGTCGGTGCTCGGCCTGATGCGGCTCTTCTCGATGCCGCTCGGCGTCGTCGAGGCACTCGCCCTCTCGCTCATCATCGGCCTCTCCGTCGACTACATCATCCACGCGGCGCACGCCTACACGCACTCCCTCCTGCCCGACCGCTTCTACAAGTCGCGCGCGGCGCTGCTCGCGCGCCTCCCGTCGGTCGTCGCCGCCGCCCTCACCACGCTCGCCGCCGTGCTGCCGCTGCTGCTCGCCCGCCTCCTCCCGCTCCGCGACTTTGGCGTCGTCTTCCTCTTTGTGACGGCCGTCTCGCTCGTCTTCTCCGCCGCCTTCCTCACCGCCCTGATGCTGCTCGGCCCGCAGGAGCCTGCTCGCCCCCTCCCCCGCCTCGAGCCTGCTCGCCCCCTCCCCCGCCTCGAGCCTGCTCGCCCCCTCCCCCGCCTCGAGCCTGCTCGCCCCCTCCCCCGCCTCGCGCCTGCTCGCCCCCTCCCCCGCCTCGAGCTTCCCCGCCCGGGCCCCTCCCCAACCCGCCCCTCTGCGCCCGCGCCCGCAGGACGTGCGCGGCACGCGCGGAGTGGCCACGTCGCCGCCCCGCCGCGCCGTCCGACCGCCGACGCCCGACGGGTCCGGCTCGGGCTGGGCGCTGCAGGTGGATGTCGGCGAGCCGGTGGGCCCGCACAGCGTGCCCGGCAGCCCGCACCAGGCGGGAGGCGGACTCGGCGAGGCTCTGGCCCCGCCGCCAAGCGACAGCAGGGAGTCCTCGGGCGAGATGCTCTGAGCTGCGACGGCCCCAAGAGCCGCTCGCGGCGACCGCCACGGCCAGGGCGCGACGCTCACCTCTAGGAGCGATCGCCCCTGCGATGATTGCAGCAGCCAGGAACGAGACGCCGGTTTGTGCTATATTGTGCAGCGAGTGGAGGCAGAGATGGAGAAACTTCCGGTGGGCCTCTGAGTGAGCGCGATGAGATTGAGAGAGAGTTATGTACATCGGGGAGTCGGAGAGACGAGAGCCCCGCCCCACCGTAGAGCCGTGTGTACGGGCGCTCTCTCGGCCCAGGGCTGTGTAGAGGGCCCATTGTTTGTTTATACTCGTGGTCATCCATATGCGCGTCCCTGGTTCAGGGGAACTGGAAACGAATCGGAAACGAATCGGAAACGAATCGGAACCCGGAAACGCATATGAACAAGACGACGAATAGAGGAAACGATATGGACACGGACGTCCTATCGAACGCGCAATATCGCAGTTCGCGAGGGACCAATTACAATGATTGTTCTGGGCCGCGGGCAACAGGATACAAACATACGCGGCCCAATACTATTTTTTATGTTAAACTGAACGGCCTCGCGCCGCGCCGTACAGCAGGCGCCAGATGACTGCGTATGAAGGCCAGGTGATGAGAGAGACCCAACTGACGCCGAGGCTCCGCTGCACGCCCCACAGCGCGCGCGGCATCGACGGGTGCGCAAAGGCGACGGGGTAGGCTGCGCGAAGCAGAAGCCAGATCCAGCCAAAGAAGGCGGCCTCGTTCGGAGAGGCTGCCAGCGCGTGCAGCCACACCGCAACGAGGAAGGGCGGCGTCTGCTCGAGCAGGTTACCGACGCTGCGGTCCATCACGAATATCAAGCCCTGGGTGTTTGGACGACCCGGGTACTTTACGGAAGCGAATTCAAGCGCCTTGTCCTTGTCGTGTCCCGCCTTTTCCTTGTTGCCCGCCTCGCGCCTTTTTTTGTGAATCCAGAAGGCGGCGGCCGCCTGGCCCTGCAGGAAGGAGTAGTAGAGCGCACACCATCCAATCGTAACGGCGACGGCCGGTCGGAGGTGTCGCTGCAACGGTGAGGCGGTCGGCGGCGCCTCCTCCGCCTCTGCCGACACGAATACCTCGTTGATGATCAGGGCGAGGAAGAGGAGCACGAAACCGAGGCACGCGTACGTGGGCAGGATGCCCTCTGTGCGGATGATGTAGCCCGACATGCGCAGCACCGCAGCGATCAACTGTATATGGACGCTGTCTGGTATAGCCCCAGCCCTCTCCGCGTGAACTCTCGAGGGATCTCGAGTTCGCACACCTACACAGCGGCTGCGGATAGTAGACCGGGTGTATGGACGGCGCGCCCAGCCAGCGAGCTGGCGGACGGCACGGCGCGCTAAAAAGAATTCCCCGGTGCGACGCAGCTCGGGCCGGACCCCGCCCATAGACCACCCACATTCATGGCACAGGCAATGACGCTCGACCAGTGGGGGACCAAGGGCGTCCCACAGATGATCGCGGACGTCACCACATCGAGGCAATCAAGAAGGGCCACCCTCTCGACTTTCAAGCCTTCCGCGTCACCATCGACGGGGAGGCGGCCAAGCTGCTGCCCCGCCTCTCGAACGGCGGCCAGACGCCCTACGCCACCGCGCAGGCGCACCACCTCGTCCCGATCCATGCCGCACGCATCGAGGAAAGCCTTCGCCCTCTCCCAGCCGGAGTGGTCCTTCTCGAAGACGAGGGCGGCCCGCCCAGTAAAGGCCCCCAGGTAGATCGGGTGCGCGTCCTTGACGCCTTGGCTCTTCCCGAAGCGCTGCAGCAGCAGGCCCGACGAGTTGAGGTCCTCCGGCAGGCCGCTGATATGCAGCAGCGGCGGCCAGGGAACGGTGGCGTCGAACGCATGCGCGTCCACCTTTGCGCCGAACCGCTGCACCGGCGCATCGCGGCGAACGGGTTGGGGTCCGCCTCCCCGTCAGACGCGCCCGGAGAGTAGCAGCCGTCGTCCGACCCATCGGGCTGCTGTGCTGCCGCCGATGGCTCTTCCCAGCGACTGCCGCTTCTCCCGCCGCCACTGCCGCGGCCGCCTCCTCCGCCACTGCCGCGGTCGCCGCCTCCACCGCCGCCGCCATCGCCCCAGCCGCCGCGGCCACCACCACTACTCCCCCAGCCGCCGCCGCCGCCGCCGCCGCCGCCGCCGCCACCGCCACCGCCACTGCTGCCGCTGCCGCGGTCGCCAACACCACTGCCCCAGCCGCCACCGTTGGAGCGGTAGCCGTCACGATTGGCGTGGTGCGAACGGCCGACACCATCAAAGCCGGTGTGTCGCGACCGACTGCTGCTGCGATACCGATGCTGCCGCGCGCATCGCGATACCTGTCGCGATACCGATCGCCGTGGCCCCCGTACCGATGGTTCTCTCGTTCGCGCTTCGACATCTCCTCTCAAAACTCACTTGTGGTTGACCGCGCGGCCAGCGACACTGAAGAGAAAAGAATTCACCAAAAAAATTCAAGGTAAAATCCAGGCGGCGTGCCGTCCTCCCATCCCTCCCTTGGGTGCTCCAATTTTTTATTTTTCACGCGACAGGGGCAAGGCGCGGCCGCGGGCGACGAAAGAATTTTAGGATCCAGTAACATCTAACAAACAAATCGCGACGGCGGTAAAACTCCCTCCCTCTCACCCACCATCCCCCCCCCGCTCGCCCTCCTCCACGAGCCGGCCGCGCTGCTCGGCTGCGATCATCGCACCGTCGCGCTCGTCTTCCCCGGTCCGCGTCGTCGTGTCCGTGATCAGATCGATGGCTTCAGCAAAGGCGACGCGGATCGGCGTGTACTCCATGCCGAGCTCGCGCTTCGACTTTCCCGCGTCGAAGCACAGCGTCCCGCTCACGGCAGTGCGGACCAGGTCCGTCGGCGCCGTGGGCGGCCGGCCAGAGACGAGGTTGGCCCACGCGGTCATCGTGCGGGCGCTCAGCCGCGCCACCCACGCCGGGATCTCAAAGGCGGGCGCTGGCTGGCCGGACAGCTCGGCGATGAGGGCGTAAAAGGTGCGCGTGGACAGCCTCTGGTCGCCAATCAGCCAGCGGTCGCCGCGGTCGCTGCGCGCGCGCGCGGCGGCCCGCACGATTGCCTCGGCGGCGTCGCGCACAGAGACGTACGTGAAGACGACCTCCCCAGCGATGGTTGCCGGGACAGAGCCCTGCACGAGGTCGAGCATCCGCATCACATCACTCTCCGCGTCCACCAGCTTTGGGTCCGCCCCAATGCAGCAGGCGAGGAAGAGCGTGCTCCCGCGCACCGTTCCCGACGCGAAGGCCTCCTGCGCGATAGCGTCGCCGCGGTGCTTGCTCGCCGCGTAGGCACTCGCGTGAGGACCCGGAGGCGTCTCCTCGGCAAAGACCTCCTGCGGCGCGCAGCAGCGGCCGTAGGCCAGCACCGTCGAGACCTGCACCAGGGCGGCCCCGGGATGCTTGCGGAGAGCCTCGATCAGGTTCCGCACGCCGGCGACGTTGACACGATCGAAGAGAGACGCGTCAGCCAGCCACCAAGCGTAGACTCCCGCGACGTTGATCACCACGTCGAAAGCGGACTCGCGTAGTGCGGCGTCCAGGCTCGCAACGTCCTCGAGGTCACCGCACACGGTTGTGCAGCCTTGCGGCAGCCGTGCGCTGCTGTCGCGGCAGAGCCCGAACACGGTGTGCTGTCGATCGACCAGCAGGCGGCAAACGTGGGAGCCGACGAAGCCGGTGGATCCAGTGACCAACACCCGCATATTTGCATGCACATGTCACATGCACATGTCGGTGCTTGCCGTCTCAGCCCGCTCGGAGTGGGCCACGGTAAAATTCTTTTCCAACAAGAGGCCGACTACACTTCCTGTCGTCTGTTGTTTGTTGTGCCCTTGTTTGTTTCTCTTGGCACCTTGGAGTGCTGGGGGGGGCGACAGGGAGGATGTGGCCTTGAGTTATGTGTACGCCAACTCAGGGTGTGTGGCAGCCAGCTGGCTGTGTGTCTTGTGAGCTTGTTTGTGTCTGTGTGTCGCTCGTGCGTGTCGTCATCATCTGTCCAGCGTCCACCCATACCGCGTTGGTGTCCAGTCCGAGCCTGGCTGTTCTTCACCTTTCTACCTACCTACCTACACGGTGAGCCATACGGACATTGCAGTAAACCTTTTCCTTCTAAGCAGGGCTACACAATGACCCTATAGTGTGGGGGTGTTCCTGGCGAGTTGTGATGAGTAGAATTAGACTAGCCAAGAGCAAAACTATTTTGAAGTTCATATATGAAAATACCAACTTGACAAACAAGTCTCTCTCTCTCCCAACTTGCCTATGTGCACGTCTCCGCGGCGGCGGCCCGGAGGGGGCCCGGCGGAGCGGTCAGAGCAGCACTGCCGGCCGGCGAGCGACTCTCGACTATAGTACGGGCTCTATTGAACGGCCTCAAGGTGCTCTCTAGGGCTCCGCTCGCCCGGCTACGACGCTGAGCTTCGAAGGAAAAGGTCTCGGCACGGCGTCGGAGAGCAAACTTCGGCGTTCGTCCATAGTGGAAGCTGGACGCACGTCGGCAAGTGGGCCCATGACAAGGCGGACTGCTGCTCAGAATCTGGGCTCTCTTGGCGCTCGCTCTCGGCTCTCCATAACCTCTTTGCCCCCTCCCTCCCGCGCCGACGTTGGCAGCCCGACCACGACAACGTCAGCGCCGCCGGCCTGCAACTCGAGGCGCCGTTGAATGAGCACGAGAGCCGGTGCACAACGGCGGCGCGGGTGATGCAGCCCAAGGTGACGACGAAGGCGGAGGGGGCGGCGGCGGAGGGGGCGGCGGCGGCAGCGGCGATGGCCGCGGGGTCGGCCCGCCCGCCTTTGCTGCAGGGCTGTGGCGTGTGGGCATCATCACAGCTCAACGTGAAGTCAAGGCGCGGAAGCTTCAGTGGGCACTTTTCGCGTCCTTTGCCACGCATATGGCGCCGCGGACCGGTCTACCGGACCCGCCCCTGATCTTGTTCTCTTCCTCGACTCGACCTTCCGCGATCTTCCTCGACTCGACCTGATGCTGAGTTTCCGCAGCCGCACCAGCCTGCGGACCAGTGCAGCTCAGTGGCAGTGTGGCTGTGCGACCAGGGCCAGTGGTAGACAGTGGACGTGCGTGAGGCTACTCTCTGAGCGATGACACTAGCAGGGGCATCATGATTGCCATCGGAGTCACTTGTATTACAACGCCGCCACGCTCGCAAGGGCCGCCTAAGCGCCTAAGGCTAAGCACCCTAAGCACCCCCCCCGCTCTGGCCGCTTAGGCGCTTAGGCGAGTGACGGCCGGCTGCCCGGGGCCTGGCGTGCCTCCGGGTGGGGTGAGCGCCTGGGAGAGCCACTCTGCAAGTGGTGTGCGAGCGTGTAGCTTTAGCGTGCAGTCGGCCAAGACATCCCTATAATAGAGGCATCCTAATTTAATCGTTCTAGTAATCTAGATATCCTCCCCCCCGGAGGCGGCGCGCTCATCAAAAAGCGCTCGGGTCGTACCCCTCCCTCGGTCCGCGGTACGTCGCCTCTCCGCCCTTGAGGTGCAGCACGTGCGTCACGCACGGCAGCACCTCCTCGAAGTGGTGCGTGATGTAGAGCAGCCGCATGCGGCTCGCGCTGCAGACGCGCTGCACCACCTCGAGCACGCGCCGCCGCCGGAGCAGGTCGAGGCCCTGGCACGGCTCGTCCAGCACCAGCAGCGCGGGCCGGCGCGCCAAGGCGGCCGCGACGAGCACAACCTTCTGCTCCCCCTGGGAGAGCATCCGAAAGGGCCGGTCGAGCAAGTCGTCAACGCCGAGCCAGCTCGCCACGCGCCGCGCCGCCTCGGCGTCGCTGCCCTCCGCCACCATCTCGCCCGCCGTCCGCTCCGAGCCGGCGACGCTCAGGTGCGCCTCCGTCGACACCCAGCCGACCCCCTGCGCCGCCGCGACGTCACCGCCGCCGCCGCCGCCGCCGCCAACGTCCTCGCCGCCGCCGCCGCCTCCGCCCCCCTCCTCGCCGTCCCCTCTGGCCGCCTCCTCCACCCTCGCACGCCTCCCGAGGACGGTAAAGTCTCCCGCCGCGACCGGCTCCGCGCCCGCGCGCGCCAGCAGCCGGGAGAGGGTGCTCTTGCCCGCGCCGTTGCCGCCCGCGATCAGCCAGTGCTCGTCGCTGCCGACGCGCCAGTCGAGGCCCCTCAGGATCGTGTGCTCGCCCCTCCGCACCTGGAGCGACCGCGCCTCGACGAGGGCGGGCCCGCCTCTCGAGGCTGCCGCAGAGGCCTCCTCCCCCGGCCCTCCCCGCCAGAGCGCAGCCACCTCCGCCTCCGAAGGCAGCGCACGCGCGGGGAGGCGCGCCGCCGGGGCGAGCGCGTCGGCGAGCAGCTCAGCGCCCGACCGCCCCTCCCGCGCGCTCGTGGCCAGCCGCCCCTCGCCGTCGAAGGCGGACATGGTCGCCACCTCGGGCACAACCTCCTCCGCCCGCTGCGTCAGCAGGAGCACCTGCGTGTGCGCCGTCGCGCGCGCGTCGACGCCTTGGACGAGGAGCTGCCCAAACCCGCGCAGCATCTGCGAGATCAGCTCGGAGAGCGACTGGCGCGACGCCACGTCCAGCCCGTCGAACGCATTGTCGAGAACGAGGCAGCGCGGCGACGTGCCGAGCGCGCGGACGAGGAGCACCTTGCGGATCTCGCCGGTCGAGATGGCGCGCACCGGCCGGTACAGCAGCGGGTGCAGGCCAAACCGCACCACCAGGTAGCGCGCCGCCGGCCCGAGGTGTCCGAGGGCGCGGTACACCGAGCCTCCGTCGGCGAGCAACCGCTGGTGGGCGTCAAAGGAGACTCGCGAGGCGGAGCGGGCGCCCCAGCCGTCGGCGCACGTGAGCGAGCCCTCACGCAGCAGCGTCCGATGCAAAGGGTCCTCCAGCAGCGCCTCGGTGAGGAGCGTCTTGCCGGCACCGTTGGCTCCAAGCAGGACGTGGCCTCCAGCGCGGGCAGGGCGGATGGAGAGGTTCAGAGGCGGGCTGGCGCGGCTGCTCGGGCTCCACGCGAGGCGAGCAGCGTCGAGGCGGAGGAGCGGCGGCTCGTCCTGGATCGGCTGGCGTGCTTGCTCCGCGTGTGCGGTCGATAGGCGTCGGCCGAGCTGGCGTGCGGCCGCTGCCGGCGAGGCTGCCGAGTGGCGTCGGCCGAACTGGCGCGCCGGCGAGGCTGCCGACGATACGCGTCCGACCGCCATCCTTGGATTTCTTTTCTATGTCTCTTCGCGCGAGAATTCTTTTGTTTCCTCTCTCCTCCTCCCGGCCACACCCCGACGCCCAGGAATTTTCTCTATATGTGCACAGCGTCTGAGGGGCGAAGATCGTGTTCTGGTCCGCTACGAGTACACAGCAGGAATGCCGTCGCGCCGCCTAGTCCTCCTCGCCCTCGGCGCGCTCGCCCTTGGCTGCGAGGACAAGTACCTCCTTCTGCGGGACGGAGAGTTCATCATCGTAAACGCGACGATAGACGGAGACATCGTGATAAAGGATTGCTCGTCCAACGACTCGTTGAACTGCACCGATAAAATCACGGTAAATCTGTGTCAGCGCTCGTGCCGAAATTGCCCAGCGCCAGCCTCGCCGCCGTCAAGTCCGATCGCGAAGGACACAACCCCGCCGCCGCCGTCTCCGACAACCATGCCGACAACCCCGCCGCCGCCGTCTTCTCCGACTCCTCTGGCGCCCGCCTCGATGGCGCCGACTTCACCACTGCCTAAGGGAGAGAAACCTGCGGCCACGTCCGCGTCCGCGCCGCAGTCCGCGTCCGTGGGCGTCGCAGCCGCGCCGAGCCCAAGTCCGACCCCGGGCCCACCTGAGGCGGACCCGTGCGCCGCCTCGGCCGCCTCGGGCCTGCTCTCTCCCACGGACGAGTGTCGGGTGTACCACCAGAGTGCTCATGCCGCCCCCGACGCCCATGCCGACGCCCCGCGCTCGAGCACCTCCAGCTGGGACACGTGGGGGCCTCTGGTCGTGCTGGCGGCCGCGGCATACTGCGTCTACCGGTGTGGGAGCGCCCCACCTCCCTCTGCAATGGCCATCCCCACGCGCCACCCTCACACACCGCCGCCTCGTGTGATTCGCCGCAGGCTCCTGCAGGCACGGTACACCTCTCTCCGCGAGCTGGGCCTCGCCGGCGGCAGGAAAAACGTGCGCAGCTTCCTGCAGCACCGCCCCCCGCGAGGCAGCGAGGGCGTCTCACTCGGGTCCTTGGAAAAGCCATTCAAACAAGTGCTAATCCTGAGGAATGATTCAGGCATCGAGGGCATCTCACTCGTCGACGACTTCAAGTGCGCCGCCCGCTCCTCGGAGGCCGACCTCGGCGCCTCGCAGCCGAGCGGCTTCGGGAGGCCAGGACACGGCGCCGCCGGTCTCTACCCGCAACAGCAGCCCCACACACCAGAAGCCAAACGGAGGTCGCCGCTTCAATCCCGGCTGTAGGCGGGCGGGCGCACAGAGGCGCGCGTGACGAGGACGACGATAACGAGATGCTCTGAGTGGGGGGGGACGAGGCGTCGAGGGGGTGGTGCTTGATTGGGGGGGCGGCGCTTGCGGGGCGGACGGGAGCGAAGAGCGGAGTCGCGACACTCTGGAGACACTTCTGAGTGGAGGCTTCTGTGGCTTGCGCCGGCAGCCTCGCGTGGACTGCACGCGTACATGCACACGAAGGTCAGAGCACGACCCCCGCGCCCGCACAGTCTGAACACAGTCCAGTCACACACGTGTCACACGCGCGGCACCGCCGCGCCGCCGCGGGGGGGCGCCGCCGCAAAACTTGGGCAGCGTTGTGCTCGGCGTTTGGCCCCGGCGACGGTGTGTGCGTGCTTGTGCCGCGCGAGAAAAGCGCCGCAGGCCGAGTTCCTCGGAAATGGCGAGGAACCTCATCTCCTTCGTGGGTCTGGCTGCTCTGACCTCTGTGAGCCGGCGTACGGCTTTAGCACCCTTTGCTAACTGCCGACTCCAAGTGCTCTCCGAGAGGGTGCAGCAGAGTGCTTCCAAGTGCTCGAGGCGGAGCGGAGTCGGACGAGACAGAAATTTTCTACCCACTGGTGGGGTGTCGACGCACGCACACTCCGCCGTCGGCCTGCGACGAGCGGCGGCGACGCTGTGCGAGTCCGAGCCGCTCTCGCGCGGGGAGGCTACGGGTGAATATGACGGCGACAGGATGACATACAGCAGCGCCGACGCCGTCCGCGACATGGTGGCCGCGTCTCGCGCCGACGCGGGGGGCAGAGACGTGTACACGCGGCGTACTGACTACGATACGCAGCCAGGGGGGGCGGGCGTTGCGCGCGTTTTTCGCACATTGGACGTACAACACACACATCTCACATGAAATCATGCATTTTACGGCATGTGCGATGTGGATGTATATTGATGTGTGCATGCAGAGATCTCCTGCGCAGTACGTTGCTCGGCACAGCGTCACAGCCACAGGCACACAATTGTGTTACCATGGGAGAGCTCCAAAAGAGAGAGAACGGCGCGTGTATCGCCACCACGTACCAGCGAGTAGAGCCCCGAGGTGTGCTCCAGCTCCTGCGCCGACCACACTGTGCGGCCTAGTTCAGCTCCCAAAGGGGTTCTTGAACTCGGGCAGCTTGAGGCCCGGCAGCTGCAAGCTCTGCGGCGGGTCGGCTGCTGCCTCGGCCTCGGCCGCGGCATTGGAGGCGAGCGCGGCACGTTGCACCTCCATCTCCGTGCGAAGCGCCTCGGGGTCGGCCCACCGCGCACCGGGCTCCGGCCTGAAGAGGGCGTATAGCTGCACCGTCAGGACGTGGAGCAGCAGCCCGGGCGGCCCGATCAGGTTGGTGAGCAGCACGCTGTGCGAGGTGAAGATGTCGCGCCGGCGGCCCTCCAGCCAGATCCAGCGGCCGACGAACAGGTCCCACACCAACTCATGCGTCCACTCCTCCGCCGCAAAGTTCTTGTATGTGCCGAGCTCAAGGTAGACGTCGATGCCACGCTCGCCCACTACTACTGGATTGAACAAATTGTTGAAGAGCTCGATCGGAGCCGTGCCCGCCTCGGGTGGCTTGCCCGCGGACGCGACGACGATGAAGAGATGGAAGAGAGCGACGATGCAGAGCGGCCAGAGCGGCTCAAAGACCTGACGCGTGACCTTCCAGTTGGGCGCAAACACGATGAGCAGCCAAAAGTTCTGCGGCACGAAGGTGACAAAGGCGAAGGCCTGCGCGATGCCGGTCGGGTCCTCGAGGGCGCTGGTGGCGAGCTGAATCGTCGTCGCGTCCATGGTTGGTGCGGCGCCGGTGCGCTGCACCGGCGCGAGCGTGACTGGCGCAGCGGTAGCGCGGCGTAGCGGCTGCACCGGCGCTAGTAGTGTGCGCGGCAGCGATAACGCGAAGCAGAGCGCTCCGAGCGCGGCGACCATCCCCACAATGGGCTCGAGAGGGCACCTCCTGAGGCGAGCCGGGACGCGCGCCCAGCCGAGTTTTCTTTTTCGTCTTAAAATTCTTTCCGTTGTAATCGTATCTTTGAGGGTCCGCCCGCAGGCGCATTTTGTATACCGAGGCGGTGCCCGGTGCCGAGCGCAGGCAGAGCCCACAGGTCGGACCTTAAGACAGCATTGTAGATCCCTGGGCGAGGGAGGGTGGTTGGTGGAGAGGCGGTCCGGCGGCGGAGCAACCACCTCCTCCCGACGTGTCGGCAGGCAGGATGTGGCTCTGCACATTCCCGTAGGAGGACTCTGCTGACAGGGTTTGCGATGAGGAGCGTTTTTGTGCCGATGAGCGATGTAAATAAATCAAAACGGAGACCTCTACTGTGAGATGGGTAAAAAGGAAGAGGTCCCCACCGATCGATGTGAGAGAGAGAGATTTTTAGCAATACAGAATACTCCCAATACCATATCGTGCACACTCCCCCCACGATCCGGCCGAGGGCTCAGGGTAGTGGAACTTGTCTAGGCAGAATGCGTTGACGAGGAGCTTGCCACCTCCGACCGACCCAAGAGGCCCTGCCTTCCCCAACACCAGATGGATAGGTCGCTCAGTTGAGCGCAGCTAGAGTATTCCGCAACGCTCACTGCTATAGCAAGGAGCGGCAAGTTGGTGGGAAATGTTCCTGCATTGAAGTCCGAATTCACACCGCCGTTCCGTCAAAGCCGAGCTGCCAGCAATGGTTCCTTCCCCAGCACGTGATGGTCTTGTCCTGCAGAACACGTATGGCCATAGCCGGCGCTCACTGCGCAGTCGCGCTCCCAATACGTGCATCACGTTTGTTCTAAAAATACTTTTGTGATAGGAGCGTCATTTTGTACCCACCCCCCCTACTTCGTGGGGACCCCCCCGCCGGTCGGTGGTCTGCCCCCGAGGCGGACCGGACCCCCCCTCCGGTCGGTCGCTCTCTTGGCGGCGGGAGGTGTGACGACCGACCCCCCCCCTCGGTCGGTGTCCTTGCCGTGAGCCCCTCAATCAAACGCTCTCCCTCCTTCTCGCGAACCGCCACGGGCGCTTCGAATCAAATCGCCGGTTTTCACCAACAGTAACACTATGAAAACTAGTTACGCAGCCAAGCGCCAAGGAGACTTCTTCGCCGAGGCCCGAGCGAGCGCGACTCCACACGAAATCCAGCTCTGGAATTGGCGGCCGAAAAAGAAATCCATACTGGTACTCCGGGGCTATGCGCGAGGGTCCCCTACCCCCGCACTGCTGTGAACAGTCCCCGAACCCATACTAGGGACCCGTAGCATATGCGGGCATCCACGCAGTCGCAGGCCTGATCCTGCTTGTGCCGTCTTTGTACAAGCTCTGGCAGCGCTCCAGTTCTCCACAGTACGCGCGCGCATCGTCCCTTCCAATGACTACGATGACTTGCCAGAGAGCTTGATCGACACATCGCCGCCGCCGTTGACGGGCTCATCGGCTTCCGAGTCGCTCAAGCGACAGCAAATGGCAATCGATCCGGGTGCTGGACGCCGCTGCATGAAGAGATATAGATACTAATTTATTCACAGCTGCGGCGAGCATGTAACCTATGTGCGGTGTGACCCTCGAGCCAACCCGACCGACCGACCCCCCCCTCGGTCTGCGCTCCGACCGACCGGACCCCCCCTCCGGTCTGCGGTATTCCGCGGCCGCCGACCGGACCCCCCCTGCGGTCGGTCGGTCTGCGCTGGGCGCTCAAACCGCGAAGTCGGCCTGTTCACAAGATGACGCTCATATGACAGGTCTCAGACTTTGAGCGGCCATATCTCGGTAACTATTGATGGATGATGGTCCACCGGAGAACTCATCGCCATTCGAACGGGCGCCGGGCGCCCGTTCCAAATCCGAAGAGTTTTCAGGTCGTTGAGTTTGTTGAAAACAAGAAAAAGAAAAATCCCAGCCCGAGACGCTACGCGGGACTTGGCTGGGTTCCGGCTCCCAGCCAGATAGGGGGTCTGTCGCCACTGAGTCGCGCCAAAACGCCCTACCTACCTACCTATTGCGGGCGCCAACCGCCAGGCTCCGTGCCCCACCTACCTACCTATTGCGGGGCCGCGCAGCGAAGCGAAAAATATCCGTTGGAACCCGTCCCGGGCGCGTTCGCCGGCGCTGCCGTCCCGGGCGCCGCCACCGCGGGCGCCGCCGCCGCACCCGTCTCGGCTGGCGTCCCAGCCGCAGGCGACACGTCTGGCATGGCCCCGTTCGCGGCTAAACGCGCCCGTCTCCCGCGAGGGGGAACGAAGCGTTCCCCCCCCCCCACCCCCCCCTTAACGGCCACCCCCCCCACCGCCACCTACCTACCTATTGCGGGGCCCTCTGGGGCGGTCAAAACCGGACCTACCTACCTATTGCATAGGGGCCAGCCAGTGGCGACAGACCCCCTATCTGGCTAGGAGCCGGAACCCCGGCTGTCGGCCTTTTTTTTTTCACTCTTCTAGGGTTCGCAGTCGACCAGGGCTCGCAAAAGGCTCACAGCCCACTCGAGCATGGGCAGCGCCGCGGAGCAAGTCATTGGCGCGTGGCTCGCTCTCATCGGCGTGGCCACCAGCGTCGCCGGCCTGCTCGGCCTCAAGATCGACCCGGCAACAGCGCCGCCGACTCTCTGCTGGCGCCCCGTCACGGCGACCCAGCGTACGCGTGGCTGCGTGGTGGTTTGGGCGGCGGGCCAGCTCTTCCAGTTCCTCGCCGTCTACTTTGCCACACAGTCCGTCGTCGCGGCGTGCACCAACGCCGGGATCGTCTTCAACGCTGTCGGAGCCTCGTATTATTTCCGCGAGCCATTCGGGAGGTGGGACGCGGTCGGCGTCACCGGTCTAGTCGCGGGCGCGCTTCTTGTGGTCCTCACGGCGCCGGTCCTCCGCGTGTCGCACCTCGACATCGATCAGGTGGCAGCCCTCTTCCAGACCTCTGCAGGGCCAGCGTGCGGCCTGATCGGCACGGCCGCCGTCGCTGCGGCAGCCGCAGCATCGCTCAGCTTGCTGGCGGGATGGCGCGGTGCCGGGAGGAGGCGCGGCGCAGGCAGCGGCGGCGGTGTCGGCAGCGCTGGCGGCGGCGGCGGTGTCAGGGCTGGCTCTGCTGGCGCGGTCCTCGCTGGTGGCGCGGTCGGCGCGGGCTGGCGCGCGCGCTCCGCGTCCGGCATCGCCTCCGGACTGGTTGCCGGCTTCTGCGGCGCCACGTCCATCAGCGCCTCGAAGCTGGTCTGGCTGCTCTTCGCAGAGACGCTGCGGCGGGGCGGCGACAACGGGTTCGCGCGGCTCGGCTCGTGGGTCATCGGAGGCGTGATGGCGGGCGGGGAGGCGGCCATGGTGGCCGCCCTCTACCTCGGCCTCCGCCGCGCCGAGGCCTCTGTGGTCATCCCCTGCTACTACGGCTCGATGACGGTCTTCGCCGCCGTGCAAGGCCTCCTCCTCCTCCCGCTCGACCTGGGCCTGCTTCAACAAAGCCCACCCTCCCCCTTCACCCTCCCCCTTCCCACCCTAGGCCTCCTCCTCTTCGACCTCGGCCCCTCCCTCTCTGCGGGCGGCGCCGCCGGCTTCAGCTGCGGGATCGCCCTCTGCGTCGCCTCTCTGGGCGAGAGGGGCTTGCGGGCGAGGGGCGGAGGGGAGGCGCTCGCCCTCGTCAGCCCGAGCCCCGCCCGGCCGTAGGCGCCATCGGGGCGGGCAGGAGGAGGGCGGAGGCGTCCCGCGCAGAGTCGCGCGCCGCGCCCCTCCTCGCCGCCGCCGCCGCCGGTGGGCGCTAGCTCTCGCCTGCGGTTCACTCCTCCGCGCCGAAGCCTCTCGAGACACTGCTCCCTCCCCTCCCGCAGGTGGCTTGCCGGCCGGTGGACCCGAGCAGGCCTCCTCCGCCGCAGCGTCCGCGACGGGCGATGGCGCCCGGCCCGTCGTCGCCGCCGTGTGAAGCAACGCTCCGGCGAGAGCGAGGAACGCAGATTTCGAGTCGTGGTCGTCCAGAAGAATCGGCATGGTGTGTCCTGTGTGAATGATGTGTAACAGTGTTGTGGTGTGTGTGGCACGTGTGTGCGGTGACACGCTGTGACGAAATGCATGGCATGGAAATGGTTGAGTGGACTGTTCACCTAAGGAGAGACGATAGCGCCCCGCGCGGGGGGGGGGGGGGGTAAGACACTCACTCACACCAGAGAGTGGGTTGTGGGCGCGCGGACCGGGCGTCGCCGGGGTGATGATGTGCATGTGGCTGTGCCAAAAAGTGTGCGAGATGTGGACATCACAAATTCACAATTCACAACATGACATGTGTGCATCGAAAAATAATTCGACCATTTTGACCAGAGCGCACGCACAAGTAAGAGCCGAACCTCCTAAGCCGCGTTGCGTTGGCCGTTGACCTCCTCTCCCGTCACGTCTCTCTGCGGAGCCCTTCAGATCAGTCGCGCTGCTTGGCGACGCGCGACCAAGGGAAGGGCGTGTTTGTCGCGGCGAGGTAGCTGACCACGTCGGGGTAGCCGCACTGGTGCGTCGCTGTCCGCTCCTCGAAGTACGGCCTCGCCCGCGCCTCGAGGGCCGCCATGAAGGCGGCCAGGCGCGGGTACGAGGCCAGCTCGTCCCCGACGCACTCGTACGCGAGGATGTCGCGCAGCGCGTTGAAGAGGGCGACCGACTCGAAGGTTAGCGCCTCGCCCGAGAAGAAGGTGCCTCCGCTCGCCTCGAGGGCCCGCTCGAGGGCGGGAAGCCTGGCGCGCAGCGCAGCGACCGCCGGCTCGACCTTGGCGGAGCGGTCTCCGAGCAGGCCGCTCAGCGGGCGGAGCAAGCCGAGGAGCTCGGTCCGCGTGAGGCGGCGCACGAGCATCGGCATCAGCAGCGGGTAGAAGACCTCGTCCAAAAGCTCCTGCGCGATTAGGCAGAGGTTGACCGCTCTCTCGTCTGCCTCCTCCGTTTGTGGTGCCATGCCAATCTGGTGGCCGACAAAGTGCATGATGTTTGACGTCTCGACGCAGTGAGTGCCGTCGGGAGCGGTCACGCAGGGGCACTTGTCCGTGCCCAGGAGCGGTGAGTCCGCGCCAAGAGCCGCCTTGCGGTACGGGTCGAGGCCGTTTGGAAAGGGCCAGAGCCGAACGTCCTGCAGCGGCACGCCGCCGAGCGCGAATAATAGCCGGATCTGCTCTCCACGCGTCGGCGCGTCGTAGTAGAGGAGCCGCCAGGTGCCGGGCAAGTGGGCCACGGCGTGGACCATTTTTCGCTGCGTCCTGGGTTAAAAAACTGGCAGGGCAACAAGCGCACACACGCTGTTGCCGATCGTCCGGCCCGCAGGGTGCCGCCGCCGCCGCCCTTAGCTCCCCGGCCCTGGGTGTGAGCGCTACAGAGTAGTATAATAGTATGTACATGAGTAAAGTGGGTTGAGGCCTAGTAAGGGCGTATATATACGACTATACGCCCACTAACTACGCCCTTAGTGTGAGATTGATAACTACACTCAAAGTGCTCCAACCAAGTGCTCTGCTTGTCTCACATGCATATGCTACCAGGTCGCATGTGTATGTCAAGCGATCCCACGAACGAACGACAGCGTCTGAGTTGTTTGGTATTGCTAAAAATCTCTCTCTCAGCGTCTGTGGGGACTACATGATCCGTACATGAAGGGTGGAGGGGCCCGTCCGCGGAATTAGGCGGCGCGGGCCGCACCCCCCACCCGACTGTGGCCGAGCGTAAGAAGCCGTTTTTGCCTCTTGCTTGTTCTTGACCCAATCAATTGGCAATTCTCTCTCTCAGCCTCACTCAGAGAACTTGAGCCAGTTGGTATGCATTTTGCGCGCCTGCTTATTGATGTTGTCGGCGTCGCCCGCCACCGCCGCCATGGAGACCTGCTGCGTGTGGTGGACGACAAGGAGGAGGCGCTCGCCGACGCCGCCCATACACCGTCCGGTCCGTGTTGGTGCCCACCCGCTTCCTTGGCGAACACGTGGAGGAGCTGCTTGGTGGGCGGCGCATGCCACCCAAAGTTTCCACGAGCACCAGCCGCGTTATGGCTTTCTTGACCCACTTCGCGTCGTAGTACTGCGCCCCCGTCCACTTCCAGCCTGCATCCGTCTTGATCCATCCCTTTCCATACCGTGGTCTTTGACCCATAAATTCCAGTCGAGTGATCGAGCGGTCCGTCCACCTGCTGACGGCCACGCTCCTTGGTTGGACCTTGCACCCACGACCCCCGTCAACGCTTTGTTCTAGCGTGTTTCCAAACCCGTAGCGAGGTGGCCCACCGACGCCACATTGCGCCACCATTTTGTATTTCCCACGAGCCCCTCCCCGCCGTCGTCGACTTGATGAGCGGGTCCCAGCACCCATCCTCGGGGACAAGGAAAAGCCCAAGGTGACGCGGCACCTCAACGACACGTCCGTGACTGACATCTGCGAGCTCGGCGGCGACTTGTCTTCGCCACGATGCGGGACGTGCATTACGAGGTCAAGTCCTGGAACCCGCTCATCAAGTCGACGACGGCGCGGGGCGCGGGGGTCTCGTGGGAAAATGGTGGCACTGTGGCGTCGGTGGGCCACCTCTACGGGTTTGGAAACACGCTAGACAAGGCGTTGACGGGGGTCGTGGGGTGCAAGGAGCGTGGCCGTCAGCAGGTGGACGGACCGCTCGATCACTCGACTGGAATTTCTGAGCCCTGGTCTGACAGCCTGACAGCAAACCCCGGACAGCGCCTGACAGTGCCCGACAGCCCGACAGCGCTGACAGCACTTTCTCCGACAGTCTGATAGCACGTATCTGACAACCTGACAGCAGAGTCTGACAGTCGAGGGGTCCCGTCGCTGTCAGGCCCTAACGTGACAGCCTGACAGCTGCCCGACAGCCCGACAGCACACAGTGGTCTGACAGCAGCGCTGACAGCCCGACAGCAGCACAGACCGTACACAGACCCCGTAGAGCCTCTTTCTTGTGCCCCATGAGGGTATAACAAAAGTACATGCAAAGACATGTGAGTGTGGTCCATGTAGTCATGGGATGGTCATGAGTGTTGAGTCTCTCTCTCAACCCTCCCGCCCCACCTCTGCGGACCCCTCTCTAGCACCGGCGGCTGTGCTACTACAAATGAAGCTACCACCTAGCCTTCTGGGGCCCTACAGTCATATGCCTACGGCGTCTGGGTGGGGGTGGCCACCGCCGTCTGTGCCGCCGCCGCCGCCTGCGCCTGCGCCGCCATCTGCGCTCCCCAGGCGGCCGCCGCCGCCGGCGTGATCACGCCGTAGGAGGGGGGCAGCTGCGTAGCCGCCAGTAAAGTCCTGCTGGTCTCCTCTTGATAGTGTCATAAGTGTGGCTGGTGTGTGTCAGAGCCTGACAGCACCCCGACAGCACCACCTGACAGCACCTGACAGCAACAGCCCAACGTCTGACAGCAACAGCAGCCTGACAGCTCCGACAGCTCCGACAGCGTCTGACAGCAACACCCGACAGCTCCGACAGCACCCGATAGCTACAGATCCCCTCGACTGTCAGACACGCACCCGACAGCACCCGACAGCACTGACAGCACCTGACAGCTGGTCTGACAGAGGCACCTGACAGTGCCTGATAGCTGCCCGACAGCCCGACAGATCACCTGACAGAACCTGACAGCCTGACAGCCAGGGCTCAGTGGAATTTATGGGTCAAAGACCACGGTATGGAAAGGGATGGATCAAGACGGATGCAGGCTGGAAGTGGACGGGGGCGCAGTACTACGACGCGAAGGTGGGTCAAGAAAGCCATAACGCGGCTGGGGTTCATGGTTCATGGAAACTTTGGGTGGCATTGCGCCGCCCACCAAGCAGTTGGAAAAAATAAAATAAAACGACGCGCCAAACGAGGGGTGGGAGAAGGACAGGGTCCCCACCTGCACGAGCAGGATCTTGGAAGGACGATCAGGGAGGGGCACAGGGGGGAATGGGGAGCGCATCGCCGTCCCATCGCGAAACGGAGACAGGGGTCAGCCCCGCGCGACCTCGGAAACTAGCCGGGGCAGTCGGAGAAGGGGCAACTCCGTGCACTGACGGTCGGCCGCCAGAAAACACGCCTGCGTGGATCGCGTCACACCAATCCTCGCTACCCAACGCGGCCAAAGGATATCCACCTCGAGAACCTCGAGAGAAACGGAGGGGACCTGGGCAGGTTTCACCCACACGACAGGGTCCCAGGGATTCCTCTCTCGAATAGGACAGGTTGCACCAGCCAGCTAAAAAAGAAAAGTACTCCGCAAACTCGCACATCCCGTCCGGTCGCTTGCGAGCCGCTGAAAACATGCTCTTGTTCACCATCATCCTCACAGCGGCGCCCTCGGACCCGCCGGCGCCGACGCAGCAGCTGCGCTCGGACCCGCCGGCGGTAGCTCCTCTTTCGTGCCGCACTCCTCCTCCTCCTTGCAGAGCTGCTGCGGCATCGGACCATCTCTCTGCAAAGACCTTTTCTCCGCAGCGTGGGCAAGGCCTTACCCTCGATTTGCGGCTCGCGGCTGTCGCGATCACCTGGATCGCTGCCATCGTCGCCGTGCAGACCACCACACCCAGCTGTATGGTCTGGCTGGCCGATGCCCGCGCCGCCTACCCGCAGCTTGCCGGGACGGCCTCCGCCTTTGGGATCTACGCTGCCTCGGATGCTCTCTCGCAGGTCGTGACCCACCGAGGCGGCGTCGACCTCCGCAGAAGGAGCGGCGCTGCCGACAGCGGCATGGGCCAGGAGTCGAGGCTCCGCGGCGGCTCCGACTCCGCGCCCGCGACGCTGGACGTGCGGCGGATGCTCCGGTCTGCCTCCTGCAGCGCGCTGCTGTCCGGCTGGCTCGCAGTGCACTACTTTCGTGCGCTCGACTCGCTGGTCCGGCTGCCGGGCTGGGCTGCAGCTGCGCCGGGCGCCGCCGGCGTCCTGTACGCGTGCCTCCCCGCCCTCGGCAAGGTGCTCTTTGACATCGCCGTGTACGAGCCGGTGTACGACGCAGTCTACCTGAGCCTGCAGGGCCTGCTGCGCGGAGAGAGGCTCGCTCCGCGCGAGCTGCTGTCTGCGGTGCTCGCTGTGTGGCGCAGGGCGCCCTACTACTGGGCTCCGGCGGACATCATCAACTTCTCCCTCGTCTCGACGCGGCTGAGGCCACTCTACAACGCGGTCGCCTCGATTCCGTGGAGCATGCACTTGTCCCAGTCCGCAAACGCTTAGACCGAAGATGTGTGTCGTCTCTCCTTTTGCTCTCTGTGATATCGAGACGTGTGTACCGCTCCGCTGCTGGCTGAGTTTTTCCTTCTATGCGCGCTCACACCGCGGCGCGCGGCGCTCTTCTCGAGCCGTGCCCCGTGCCCGTGGCCGTGCCCGTAAAGCCGTAGGTGCCCGTCGGGTGCGCCCGGCTCTCGCATGGGTGCTCGGCACATGGACATGGTGCTCGGGAGTCGGCGGGGTCGCCCGTCGCCCGCGTCGTCGCCGTCGGTACGGTCGTCGGACCGCGCAGCACCGTTGGTGTCGAGTCGGGTGAAAAAGATAATGCAGCTTATAATGGAAATAAGTAAAAGGTCCGCCGTGCGCCGTCCGGCACACCGGGTCGGAAAAGACGGAAGCGGTGTGTTGCTGTGAGAAAAAAGTGTGGGGTTCTGTGGGGGATGTGGGGGATGTGATATATTAATTGAGGATGGGCGCCGCATGGTGCGATATAACTGATAGAGATAGCATAGTCCCGAGGGGTCGTCACACGGGCGGGTGCTAAAGAGTGATGATGCCGCTCTCCTCCTCCTCCCACCCGTGTTGCCTCCCCGCCATCGACGCCGCCGCCGCCGCGGCGGCCTCCTGTCGCCGCTGCTGCGCCCGCGCCTGCTTGGCCGCTTTGCGCTCCGCCTTTCGCAGGCGCGCCGCCTCGATCGCAGACGGAGCCACCGCCTCCGCCCCATCCGCCGCGGCCGCGAAGAATCCCGCGAGGCGGTGCCCGTCGCCCGCGCCGTTGCACTCGCCGCCTCTGCCCTCGCCCTCTCCCCCCTCGCCACCTCCGCCACTGCCGTCGGCAGCCGAGGGCGGCGGCGGCGATCCGTCTGGCTCTCCGCCCCGCCTGCCCCCTCCGCCATGCCCTCCCTCTTGCCTGCCCTCCTCGCCGCCGCCCAGCGACACCGCCCGCATGCGCGTGATCGCCTCGAGGTAGGCGACCGCCCCGTGCGGGTCGCCGCTGCACGCCTCGAGCGCCTCTGCAACCTGGCGGGGCGAGGGGGCGGGCAGGGAGTGGGCAAGAGGGCCGGCGGGAGAGGTCCAGGCGGAGGGGTGCGGGGGGAGGGGAGAGGTGCAGGGGGAGGGGAGAGGTGGGCGGATGGATGCCGGAGAGGAGAGAGGTGCGGGGGTAGAGGGCGAGACGGAGGGAGCGAGCGCAAGCGGCCAACCTGCTCCGCGCTGACCTCAAAGCTGCACCCCGAGCGCACGGCCGCCTCAGCCGCCGCCTCTCCCATCTCCGATCCGCCGTCGCCCTCCGCATCGCCATCCGCAACGCCGCAGCTGCCGCCACCCTCCGCCTCGCCGCCACCGCCGCCCCTGCTCGATCCACCACCCTTGCCGTTGCCTCCGCCCCCGCCCCCGCCGCCAGGACCCCCACCTCCCTTGCCATTGCCCTTGGTTCTGCTCGCGCCGCCCTTCGCGCCGGCCGCGCCCTCTGCGCCGAAGCCGGCGCCGCCCCGCGCCTCCTCGGCGGCTGGCTGCAGGACGGCGTTGTAGTGCTCGCCGTCGTGGTAAGAGACGCGGACGCAGCCGGCGGCCTTGTCGGCGCACTCGATGCGGTAGGACGGCCTCTCCTCCTGGTAGACCACCAGGTGCACGCGCAGCGCCTGCACCGCCGCAAGAAGCTCCGGCTGACCCGCCCACTCGCCGTCCCGCCGCATGCGAGAGAGGTACTGCTCGAAGTCGGCGTCGTCCTCCTCGTCGCCCTCCCCGAAGGTGAGGAACGGCGTGTAGTCGTCCGGATGCGCCTCCATGTGCGACACCACCCTCTCCCGGTAGCTCGCGTGGCACCCCTGGTGTTCGCCGAGCCCGGTGGCAATCGCTCGGAAGAAGCAGTTGCCGTCGCGCTCGACCTCGAACAGCTTGAGCCCCGAAAGCCGCAGGCTCCGCGCAAAGTTGGCCATTCTCTTCTGATCCGGCAACGCACTCGCCGCTCGCTCCGCCCGGCCACCTTTGCCACCCCTCTTGCTGCCGCCGCCGCCACCGTTCTTGCCGCCACTGCCGTTCTTGCCGCCACCTCCGCCGCTGCTTTTGCTACCGCCGCCCTTTTTGCCGCCGCCGCCACCTTTATTCTTGCCCATCGGTGTCCGCGGGTCGGTGCTACAGCACAGCGAGCGCGTGTGCCGCGCGAGCGGCTGCAAAAAGAATTCTAAGAATTTTTGCTCGGCAGGCGGTTAGTGTTCTGATGATCACCCGAATGCCACAGAATGCCACGCTCTCATCGCAAAGCCTGTCAGGCTCCTGCTGAGCTGCTGTCAGCAGTCCACCTCCGGGCGTATTGGACCCCAATACAATAACCTACCTAGGAAGGTCAGGCCGACCAAGTGACTGGGACTCATCAAGTGCCGGAGTCCCAGTGGGGTACCCAGTGAGCCGCCCACTGGGTCGATATGGGCCCCAATCGGCGAGGCGGCTCGCCCCCACTGGGCCCCCGCCCGCCCCCTCCCCACTGGGCAGCTCTCGGTCTCCCCACTGGGCAGCTCTCGGTCTCCCCAGTGGGGACTCCGGCACTTGATGTGTCCCAGTCACTTGGTCGGCCTGACCTTCCTACAATGAGCACCCAATATCTACTACAGGAGCACAATCAATATCTCGGATACCCATCACTGAGCCGACGATGCTACGGGTAGCCCCAGGGTGGCGCCCACCCCCATACCCTCGGGCACTTGCCTGCGCCCTCGCGCGCTAGCCCACGCCCTGCCCCACAAGATCTCACTCCATCCCGGCCTGCGGCATACCTCGGCACCCCCTTGCACGGAATTTCAAAACGCCCAGGTACCCTGCTAAACCGGGCGAAACGCCACACAGTGGCACGCAGTGCCGCACACTCGGGCGTGCGCGCGGGCGTGCGCGGGCGTGCAGGCGCAGGCAAGTGCCCGAGGCGCGGGCGCGCGCGGGCGGGCGCGGGCGGGGCGCGGCGTGGGCGCGGGCAGGCGCGGCGCGGGCACGTGGGCGGGACATGGGCGGGCGCTGGGCTTGCACCGCCGCATCTTCCGCATCACGAGTGACGAGAACGGTCCGCCGGCGCGCGCTGTATTGATTTCGATAGTAATGGGGCAGCAGGGGACAGGATAACGCTCACTTAGGCGGTCTTACCATACAACCGGAAAACGTTTTCGCTACACACTGGCCAGGGGCCATACACGTCATACCGCGGTCCCTTCATGCGCTCCTGAAGCCCAGTCATGTGCGCGGCAAAGCGTGTGATGGCGGACAGGAGCGAAAAAGAGCCCCGCCATGCGGTTGCAAAACATTTCTTCCGTGAACGCATCTCCCTAATTAGGTGCTCATTGCGTCCACGGTAGTGCTGAATGAACAGGTTGTCCATCGACTCCTCACATGTCAGCTCACCGCCCGTTGGCTTCTTGTGCTCACAATACATGTGGGGAACTCCGACGTACGCCTTGTCACCCATACCATATTCAAAAGGGTATAGCTGAGCTAGGAACTCCTTCGCGTACCAATGCTGTGCCGAATCATGCCGGACACCCATGAAGAGCCCATTGTAATCGATTGGGAAACCGCACATGGTGATTGTATAGTCAAACTTTAGCACGTACTCCTTGTACTTGCCTGATCTCACACACCGCTGGAGAAAGCGATTTTTGGGGCAGCAAATTGTCAAAGGAGCACCATCTTTGATCCACAGCACACGCTCGTGATGGAACTCAGTGTGGTTGTACTCCCACAGTCGCAGTGCCGGATCGAGGAAGTTCACGTGCCGTGCGAGGGAATAGATTGTCGGCCGGACCTGCTCTGAGAATGTGCCATAGCTGATGCCAATGTTCTTCATTTCGTGCTGAGTAGGATATCCCACTGCATAGTGCATGGCTGCAAGAAAGTTCCGCTTCTTGCGCTGGTGGGCAGCGCTTGCATCCGGGCTGTCGTTGACATCGAACAGAAGCACCTTTGTGTCTTTCTCGTAGTAGCACGGGATGTAATCATACATGGCACAGAATGCATAATTGACCGCACAAGGTTCGTATGATGTGCAATCCTTGAGGCTGCGGTGGAATCCTGGCACATCCTCCCACGTTAAGGCGTCTTCCCAGCGGCGATTCTCGCTTGCGCTGTCGTATTCGTGTGGCCAAAGCTTGAGCGGGTCCGCGAGAGAAGCTGAGCTTGGATTGTGGGCCCAGTACGGAGTTGGATCCGGCGCATATGATAGAGTGTTGGTCGGATCCAGCTTGAAGACAGGCCGCATCGCAGCAGCTCTACAACGACACAACTCCCGGCCGGGTCGGCAAATCGAAAAATCCAAAAAAGCGAGGATCCAAAATAATAACTAAAGTATGAGTCGCAGCGAGAATCGGAGAGAGACTGCGAAGAGAGATAGGAAGAGGCGGACGCCCAAGGGTGGGCGACGGCTAGTGCACCACACCCCTCTCCTTAAAATCCCTGTGTGGTGGCGGCGTGCCGTCCTCCCATCCCTCCCTTGGGTTGTCCGTTTTCTTTCTTTCTTTTAGTATGAGTTGCGCGCGAGCGCGCGTTTTACGACCGGGCAACAAAGAAAAAGTTGGCGCACGAAAGAAGACTCGGTTTTTGTTGTGGGGCAAAGGAAAAAATCTCGAGGTCGAGCGTTATGAAAAATCTCTCTCTCGCCGCCACACCCCTCACCCGCACGCGGCGGTGGCAGCGGCGAGGGGGGTGGCGGTGAGGGCGGCGAAGGCGGTGTCCCACCGCTGGGCGGCCCCGCCGCGCCCCTCCGCCCTCCTCACCCCACGGGCGGCCCCCCGGCTCCGGAGACCGGCGCCCGGCCCACTGCACCGGAATGGCGACCGCACCGCGCGGCGGCTCTCTCGAGGCGCCGCCATGAGCCTCGGCGGCGGGGGGGTGGAAGCAGCGCGGGGCGTCATCCGCCCTAGCGGTGGAGGGGGGGGGAGGGGCGAGAGCGCTCGCGTCGCGGCGCCGCT